AGTAGCAGTACAGCAGCAGTAGAAGCGGTAGTAGTAGTACTAGCCGTCGTCGCTTTGGTAAAGTAGCAGCAGTCGCAGTAATAGTAGTAGTAGTAGTAGTAGTAGTAGTAGTGGCAGCAGTAGTAGCAGCAACAACATCAATAACAAACAGAGCTAGGTTCGCTCACACACATTGACATTATGCTATCGAGTTGCGGCGACAGTAAAAACAAATGACTTCTGAATCGACGGATATGGGCCAGGGCACGCAGAGAATCTGTGCAAACTGTGGGCAGCTGCATGCAGCCTGTCGCGTTCCGAATTTCATTGCCACCTTCCCTCCTACCCGCCTGCTTGACACCGACATTCAGGCAAGGTCGTGATCATGGCTTCAAATTCTCCCCAGATTTCAAAATGTTCTACCACATCCTTTATGCTTGGTTTCTCCAAGAGCTCAAGGCATGCCCGGATCTAACTGGCAACTTTGAAGCCAGGAAGCTCCCTGCAGGCTTTGCGCACTCCGATGCCGAGAAGGCTGCGACATGTAGCTGCCACGCGAGGAAGACATGACCAAGGCACGTAGCAGCCCCCCTAGGCAACTGACGTCCCCAGTTCTGGAAATGTCCGCGCAGATCGTTAGCATGTCTGAGACCGTCTCGCTATGGATCTACGGTTAAAGGCAAGCTAGGCTAGAAAGTAGAGGACACGCTCTTGTCCAATTGTAACCCCTGCACATGGCGACATCGTCGGCAGAGGTTGGAGTGCAAATGCTAGAGGACTTGACGCTCACAGGTGGAGCGTGCCCTTGCATGAATGGCTTCGGAGTTTGAAGCATCAGCAAGAAGCTCAAAGCTTTAAAACCACCAGGAGAGCAAAGTCGACGATGTGCTTACTACAACATATCCGCTGAAAACTCATTCAACGTCCGGGTAATGGATCCCATGTGGAGCTTGGACGGTTGAACCCGATGTTCGGGAAACTTGGACCCTTGGATCCCTGGGTCGGCTGATTTGGCTTTAGGGTCGCTCCGGGGGCGGTGGTGAGCCACGTGCTTGTCTTTTTCCCCCGTTCAATGCTTCGCAAGAACCATCCAACTCTTCACGAACATCTTGACATGGGACGAGGATGGTGACAAGTTCACCTGTGACAGCATATTATGTCCGACGGCTTCCAAAGCATCAGGCTTGACCAAATCTGTTGACGAGGCATCTCGCGACGAGCCTGATTCCTCCTCGGTGTACAACTCGGCGGCCAGGCGCACGGCTCCTCTGTCACAAGTTAGGGTAAAGGGGCTGGCTGATGTGACTTGGCGAAATCAAATTGGCCGAAGAGCTCGCTTTTGCTGCCATGCTGCGAGAGGTCCAGGTCTCTTCACATGGCAACCACAGCTGTGCCACACGAAGTTCTTGTAGGAGACCAAAGGCAGCCTGACAACTGGGCAGCCGGCATACGCAACGAATGCTCGGCTCCGAAAAATCCCAGCTGTCGAGCCTGTCGCATCTGTCACTGCATGCAGCGTGACATGTTAACCTTCTGAACTGCTGGCAGCGCCTCCAATGCATCTGCTGCAAGAAATCCCATGCTCGCAGTGTCGTTGAAACCGAGGGCGGGCCGCCCCACCCCTCAGCTTCGACACTTCGAACCAGCGAGGCAGACGCATCAATGCTCTCACAGCTAACTCTTTGAAGCCGTTTTTGTCGGTGGAGCAGTCAGCCCCGAGCTGCTCTGGCTGAATAGTCTTCGGCAACATAGTTTCGGAGCGTTTTGAAACACCAAACCAGTCGCTTCGACGTCAAGGCTTTCTGTGCATGCAGCTCCAGAATTGTTGAAGAAACTTGTTGACGGCAGAACCTCGAAACGAGGACTGGAATTCATTCGAAGACCCATGAATAGCGGCACATTGTAGAAGCTCTGCCTATCTGCAAAGTCAAGCGTCGCATGTTCAGGGTCGTTACGCGGGCAAAGCCCATTTCTTCGCAAACCTCGGAACTTAAACATAAACTATGTCGCTGTTGTATACAATCAAGCTGTGGGCGAGTCCAGCATGGGACTTGCATGGCGAAAGGACATGCTCAACCTTTTGGTACATGCTGTCTGCGGTCTGAGGTGCCTCACCACAAACTTCAAACGGGACAAAGTGGCAAGATGTTGCCAGCTCCGCACAAATATCTGCAGCCAGAGCCTGTTCGATGAGCATCATCCATCAACCCCTATCGACCAAAACACGCATGCTGCTGCACTCGAAGCACAGCAAGCAACCTACTAGTAGACACTACAATTACAAGATGCCACAAACTGGGAGAGCAGCGCTTTCACTTACGACTGCTCATGTCGCTAAGAACTGCCCCCGAACCTCCACGTCTGTGGTGAGCAATCCTCGTAAGCTGAGTAAGCATTTCTCAATGCGAAGCTCTTGCTGATGCTTGCGCCCGGTCCGACCGCCTGTTTCATGTCTGTTCTTGAGCTGCTGAATCTGCTGTGTCAGGCCAGAGCGGCTTGTCTGCTGAAGCTACGCCACCTCCCCCCACCCTCACTTCCACAATCTGCTCGTGAAAGGAGCTCCTGTGTGAAGCAGCGCGAGGCTGTCGGGTCGTCCGGAGGCCTTCCAGGCGATAGAAATCGAATCGAAGGGTCAGAGAGTTTATTTCAGGTTTTGTGGCTTGCCGGCAGATCAATCAACCACTTTTGCTCAAAACGATTGCGCTTCGAAAGACCACTAACTTGCTCTGGTTGACATCTGGTACAGAGGGTCCAGTGACGTGACAGCTTTTGATATCTTTCTTCGAGGGATTCTTGACCGAACTGGATGGTCTCGAGCCAGCGGTCTTGTCATGCGATGACTAACTGGTGGGCAGTTCCAGACATTAACATCTACGTGCCTTCGGACACTGGCGCACCATTTTCAGCACGCTCTGTACCTGCACGGCGGGACAATCCCACCCCGCACTACCGCACTGTAGCATAACGAGAATCCAGCACCTTCATCAAGTCGCCCAGCTGCACACAACATTTGCATGGAGTCTACCGAATCAAGACTGCGTCCCAATTAATTAAACTCGGAATTCCCTCTGCTCGCCTGCTCGACGGTCTCGACAAAAGCCAAAGCATCCAAACTAGGAGGATACCTGCAAGGCAAGCACGAAAACCGCAAGGTGCTTTGCGCGGTTCGCCCGTGACGCAGGGCAGGCTGGAAGCTCCCAGGCACCGGAGAACCTCAGTGCTGGTCCTCGTGCCATCTGAGCTCGTGCGAGAAAAGATCCTTACGTTGCATCTGCACTGAGAGGCCCGGCCCTGGTCGGATGCGCCCAAGCTGTGCCGAGGAGCTGAAAGAGAAAATCGGTGGAGTTAAGGTCGTCCTGTCCTTGGCAAGCGCAAGGCTCCCCCGATGCAAATTCCCAAACCACCCCTGGAAAACTGCGACTCAGCTTCAGTCATGCTCAGCCGGTAGCGGCTGAGAGGATGCTTGTCGCGCTTCCAGCCGACGACCCAGGTCTGCAGTCCTGCGCTCTCCGAGCATGTACATGGGCCAGCATACAGCATCAGCCAAGACAGCCGTCAATGTGGCAATAGGTCCTAGTACTTTTCGGAGCATGTAGCTCAAGTGCATGTCTTCGCCCGTCAGTCGAGAGAGCGGGGGCTCACGTAAGAACGCCGAGGCGATCCACCGTGTTTCCTCTGTAAGAAGATAAGAGAACCAAGAAGTGTAAGGATGCCGTTCTGAATGCGTGAATACTTAGCTCATGGACAGGAAGGATGTAGACACAGAGGCCTCTTCTGCAAAGGCGAGAACTGAACTGCAACTGACACGAAGTGGTTGAGAGCAGTGTCGTGTTGCCAGTACATGCTTGCATTGAGATCTCCAGACAACAGGTCCAAAGTGCAACTCAGGATCTAAGAACCACGCGGCATTGGCGTAGTCAACAGCTACCGGCTTCTTTGGTCGGTCCACCCATCTGACAGCGGCGTAAGAAAGGGTTCTTGTTCACCGGCCAATGCAAAGAAACCCCAGGCGTGACCATCAAGCATGTATGCATGCTTGTATCGATTCACGCCGAATCCATGGCTTGGGTCACCTCGCCATCTCCGGGTCACCCCGGCGGATGTGTCCAGCATGCCCCCAAACTCCTCAATGAAGACTGACAACTGACGTTTTGACACTTTCGTGAGATCATCGAAAATAATGCCTGCAAGGCAAGTCAGCCTAAACATTCCAGCAACTCCCACCATCGTGGAGAGGTGACCGGTGCAAATTTGGGCAAAGCTCCTGGCTGTTTGCGGATGTGGCGCAGGTACCTGGGCTCCGAAACGAAACATACCAGATCTCGTCTATCTAGCGACTGACAAAAGCCCCCTGCGTTCCAGCAGAGATGAGTTGGCCAGTTCAAGTGGCGCTAGGTGAGTCTAGGTGCTGGCCTGTGGCAGAGACTGGGAAAGAGACGTCGTCGTCGACTATGTACACGTACCTGAAAGACACGCCCAAGTCAACAGCCGTAACCAAGAGCCCTTCTTGCAGACTGGGGGTTTCAATTGGGTTCAGGCAGCTTCCGAGGTGCCTCGTTCTGGCTGCTGAGGCCAGTAAGAAGCGGCCGTAAACACCGAAATCCACCTTCGCAGTGCTTTTGTCTATATTATAGTATATTATACTATACTATTAAGGGCCCACTGCCAACATGCAACAGCACTGGAAGCCTCGCTGGAAATCAGCTTGACCTTGCTCCCCCCGTTGCTGCGGAAGTCATCCACGACCGCCTGAGCAGGAATTGAAGGCCATCGCGGGAGTTGGGGGAGTAGCTCCTTGCGGATTTTCGTTCTCAGAGCGCCTGATATTCAGCAGCCATGGGCGATCCGAAGACCTCGTGCTCCAGGTCACGATTGATAACCATGTGAGCGACTCAGTCCCCCAGCTTGCAGTCGTCATATGGTTCTTGGCTTAGGAGCTGCTCTGTAGCCAAGCCACACAAAGCCACACCTCAATCGCTTCTGGCGCAGCTGCAGCTGCCCTGTCTTGGATGGAGTTGGGAACTATCGGTCGACGCAAACCTTGACTCTCCTTCTAAAACGAGTGTGGGAAAGCCTTCAAGTCAGGAGCAGCTGAGCTTCCCGGTGTAGATACTCAGATACTCCTGTCATATCCTCCCAATCGGCGTTCGTGAGCGATCTGAAGTCTGAAGCTGTTACCGACCTGATATCATTCTAAGATGCCACAGAGAGCCTGAGCTGTCCGAAGAGGTTCTCGGCCGGGCGCTGCCAGTGATTCAGGATAATCGTGACCTGACGTCTCAACCCCAGCCAGGGGCTTTGTGTGACGACTCAGGCCCTGCTACCAGCTATGACGGAACTTCCTTCCCCACGCCATCATCCTGTGAAATTCTGACAGGCAGTAGTGCATGAGTAGCCTCAACAGCAGGCTTCTTCATCCGGCCTCCTGTTCATGCGGCGATTCTAATTCCACGAGGTCTGCATAACGCTCCGACAAGCGCGAGGCCTCGGCATACCGGAGACTAGGAAAGCTCTTCACCCGAAACATGCTGGCCGCTCTCGTGCAATCTGTGCCTGAGCCAATGTCAAAACTACTTTTTTTTGCTTCTTCAGGGCATCTGTGCGACTTTGAGCTTGCGGGCATTGAGCCTTCAGGATTCAGGGCCCTATCGTCGGGCAACAATACATCCGCAGAAACCATCACACACCTTTGGGCCAAGCTCCGAGCACGACGAAGGCACTGACCGCCCTCGGAGTGGCACTCCTTGCTGCAATTGCTCTGATCGGTGCCCCTCCCCGCCCTCCACCCACAGCAAGCATAGCCCAACCCCAAACCACACGTTACTGCAACCCCTCATGCATTTCACAATTTCTCAGCCCACCTGACTACTTATCAACCCTGCCAGCGCCACAATGCGCACAAAACACGTCCACCAATCTACACGATAACGCATAACAGTATATAACAGTCATGACATGATCCCAACAACCGACATCCACTTCGAGCCAGAGCCGCAGTAGGAGCAGGAGCAAAAGCAAGAAAGTGATTCCCTAAACCCTAAACCCGCACTAAAAAGGGCCTAGCGTTACACTCCCTTAGACGCTTTTCACCACGCTCCCACACCTAGCGGCACCTCGAGGAGCTGAGCCTCCAGGAGCCTGGCCTGTCGCCATTTTACGGGGGGCGCGCAGATGGGTAGTTTTCAAAATTAGGGTCCCTTTTAGGGTCCTGTTTATAAGGGTGCCGTACTATATTGGGGACCTAAAAAGGGACCCTAATTTAGAGAACTACCCATATCACTGAGACAAAGACAAAGAGCATCCTCAACAAATCACCGTGGCTCATATGCTGCTGCCTTCCCGCCCGGCAGCGTTGGCGCCAAGATCAGGATCCTTAAGAGTTTCCCGCAGGAGAGCTCAGAGGGCTAAGGTGGCATTCTGTACATGACCTGCAGTCCGATCCTCGCATCCCTGTTGCATTGAACTGATAGCTGATCAAAACACTTGGGAGGGCAGTATGGAACCCTGTTTTGCCGATCGGACATGACCCAAACCGTCTGATCTCGAATAAACTCGAGCACCTCGAGTGCCGCAATGGCGAAACTCGGCCGGCACATCCCCTTCACTACTGCGACGAAAACACAGACCTAACCCTGCCACGATTCCACGGCGTCGTCCATGCAGAAGGCTTTCCCATCGACAAGATTGCATCAAACTGCCATGTAGACGATGGTCTTGTGCATGGATCTGCTGGCTGGCGCCGTCTCACCAATCAGGCCTGGGTGCATGCCTTTGTGTGAGCGCTTTCTGCTACCTTGTCTTTTGAATCATCTGCTACTGCATCTGCTGCCTTGCCTTTCGCAGCTGCGGACGAAATTCACAGACTGGCTTGCGTGATCCTGCATCTGTCCATGACAACATTTATGCATGAACAAGAAGCGATGTTTTGTCCCGTTTGTGTCGGCAGCTTCCCGCTGAGTTACGCTCGGCACCGCCGCGCTCAGCCGAGGGAGAAGACCCGACTTTGGCAGCATGACCTGGAGGTGAAGACCAGGAGAGGAGGCGCGAAAGCGAGCTATGGCTCGAGATGCTCGATGCTTACAAACGACACCGGCCAAGCGGCAAAAGCTGCTTTGGGTCCGGCGCTCTTCGTCGTGCCCACAGGTCGCCTAAGAATCAGCAAGCGAAACACGTCCAGCTTGAAGCGTGATCTACACGCCGAACCATGCAGGAAACGAACAGCCGTGGTGGGATTTCTGCACTGGCTTCACCGGCTGTTTGGTATGTTGCTGTCTTTGGAAAAACTGAGGCTGTCACCCCATAAGGCGCCGAAGGTGCTTCGCAACAACCTTGGCCTCCTGCCACGATAGAAGGGCCTGACATACTGCAGGGTTCGCCAACAAAAATCTTCGCATGGGAGATGAAGGCTTGACTGGGAGCCTTCATCGTGCCCTCGTTGGAAAGAGACCTGCATGAAGGGGCCAAAATACTGCAGGACAAGAAACCTGACGGAAGAAGGTGAAGGCCCCTTCCCGGGTTTTGCCCGTGGCTGTACTGTGCCTTGTCCATTCGCCAATCGAGGTGTCGAAGAGCTGGGTCGAGTCCAACAGCTCCAACTGAGGAATCACGACCTGCGCCGGATGGCAGGCTGGAGCAATTCATGCACGAAGCTTCAACCACAAGCCTCCAGAATCTTGTTCACGCGAATGAAATTCTGCTCTGGCGTCCTTGTGAAAACTACTACAGCGTCTTGAAAATTCATTTGCGGTAGCTGCGAGGAGCTTTGCACAGATGTTTGTGATCCCAAAGCATCAAGAATGCCCGTCCATGGCAAGGCTGCTCCTGTATTCAGACTTCAAGAGCTCGGCCAAGCCTTTGGCAAGTTCGCACTTCGCCTTGCAAGAAAGCCAGGACTGCTTTAGATATGATGGCCACGATGATGTGGCCTGATGTTGTGAGAAACCTGTGGGCTTTGCAAGCCTAAATCAGAATGCACGTGGTGGAGTTTACGCCCAACGAATGCGACGAATCTTGATCCGGCCGTCTCACTTCCAGAGAGGAAACGTTGCGTTCTTGGACATGGCAAACACCCTTCAGAAACACGTGGGGATCCGTAAATTGCAAGCTTATTCAATGCATCATCTGCGCTATTGAAATTGAACCGCCATTGATTCGTCTCACAGCTCAAACACGAACTGAAATGCCCCTCAGTCTCTGTCCTGTGTCAGCGGTAAACTGAACCACGACCTCAGCAGCCGCTGTGGGCTGAGTTTCTGCAGGCCGTGAAGGAAACTTGCTGAATGAGAGAGCATGGCTGATGAATGAGAGAGCATGGGTGATCAGATCGGCATGTGAGCTGCAGCCATATGCACATTATGCACCACTCCTGCTCTGTCTGCAAATCGACAGACTGTCGGATTGGTATTCAGCCCTCTTGGAAACTTAAACCCTTGAACTTTGCAACCTTCTGCTCTTGGTGCAGACGTCTATGTGTCGTTCTCGTCTCGCACTAAGCCTGCCTGGCCGAAGTGCCAACGAGCGGAGATCCACCTAGAAGTTGCTTATCAAATCCAACTAAGACGAACAAAGTACCCACAGGCCCCATAGTAGTCCCTTGTTGGGGTTCATATTTGGGTCCCTATAAGGTAATCCCCAAAAGGAACTACTATGGGGCCTATGGGTATATTTCAGCCTTGACCGAAATCACTTCTGTCCGAGGATCTGATGTGGCCAAACAGGAAACGGGACACTGAAGTCTCGCTTCCAGCGAGCACGGGTTTCCTTGACGAACTGGTCAACCTCACCTGGCATGCACGTTCGCCTGCACATGCACCTTCTGCATTCTAGACCCGCGGGCCAAACCACAGATTTCCAGCCAAAGCCCGAACAAAGAAAATCAAGCCGGCGAGCCATTAAATTACACCCCTTAGCCCTTGCCTAGCCCCATGTCCCTGCTGTCCCACAATTGCAACAAGATGCTGTCCAAGTTACATCGGTCAAGGCTTCCATTGCGTAGTTGCCGTAGAACCATCCTCAGCATAGCGCCGCAAATGGACCGCAAATGGACCGTCTCTATATGTCTCTATGACGTCGTGACAGACGACAGTCCCTGCCGCACTCACATGCTGAATCCTGATTGCAATCACGGCCGATGCAAGACTTCGCTTTTGAGTCAATAACGAGCCGGCATTTCAGGGTTGTAGTCTTGGTTGGACTAGGACTAGGACAGGGGCCGCACAAGATGAATGCGTGCCGGGGTCCAGTATAGGCCGACATTGGAGCCGCACTGCTTCAGCAGCTCCTTGTCTGCGCTTGCATACCTGTGCAGGACTCGGCTTCAGAATTAGCCAACTCAAGGCATTCGGTCGATGACTGCGCTGTTCAACAGCGCGGCCGCCTCCAGTCTTCTTTGGGAGGCTCCATGCAAATTCCTTTCAGCTCAAGCCATGCGTCACGGTCGGACAGCTGGCCACGTCACTATTTTGTTGCATGCAAGGCTCTTTCGAAATGCACCCCACGAGTGGCAAGATTTAGCAAGGATTCGGCACCGTAGTCAGAGTTTACCTGTAGCGTCGCAGAAGTTGCATGAAGCTTCAGTGCCAGTAGCCGTCGTGGGTGTCGTGGCCGATCCTACTGAAACAGGGTATCAACGCTTGTTGCAGTCTTAGTCTTCGTCGCAGTCCTAAAAAGTGCCGGTGGTGGCAGCGGTGGAGCGTGATTCTGGCTAGTACATGTAAATACTAATCGTGGAGGCAGAGGCAGCAGGAATAGCGGTGATCGTCGTCGTAGCGGCGACGATTAGTAACACACGTGCGATGCGTTGGCCGAAACGGAGCAGGAGACGGAGGCCGGGCGCGACAGCACTGCTTACAAAACCTTGCTGCATGGTTTCAGCTGTCCGATGCGCAGGCACGACATCAAGTTCTCCTGAGCGGAGCATAAGCCGGAATCCAACGGTTCCGAATTTACCGATGCCTTAAGCCTTAAGCCATCTATATCCATCCATAGTATCTATAGCCACAGGTTTCTGACGGTGTATGTGAACACGCTGTGATGCTACAAATGCCGTAGCGGAAGCAGTGGGAGCGACTGCTCGCTTCCTTTGGCATGACGGATCACATATTCAAGCCGCACCCATGTATATCTCTTCATTCTGGGTGTTCTCTTAGGAGGTGAATGAGTGAGACGAGGCAACTGGGCTTGGGCGAACAAGGTTACTGACAAATACTAGCACGCTTCAGCAAATGATCCGATAGCCGTGGAAATGCCTCTTCCAAGCTAGTGTTCAGAGCATGAAGAAACTGAAGATATCAGGGAGCTGTTGCCGCAGTCGTTTAAGGTTGTCGTCGTCGCTGTTGCTGACGGGCACCGTGGCCATGGAACGCAGTGAATTTCCGCTCAGGTAAGCGAGCAATGCTAATAGCAACGTAGCAGTAACACCTTGACGCCCACACCAACGGTCCCATGCACTGCCGAGTGCCCGATGCAACACTAGAAAAGCCCAAGAACCACGAACATGACGCGGGCGTAGTTGTTCCGGCTGTGGCTGTGGACGATCGCGTCGGCCCAAGCCATGGCTTGTTCCGGATACTTCCTTGGCTCTTCGAAACGATCTTGTTGCCTCCCGCCTGGCTGCCCACATTGCAGGGCTGACTTGGTACAGTAGACATGACCACACGTTTTTAGATACTTTGTTTTGGAACCGAGGGCTGCAGGTCGAGGTCTTGGTAGGTTTCGTGCAGCTGCTTGGATGCGGGGTGATTTGCTAGGTCTGAACATCTTGCTGAGCCTGAGTGTGGCACAGCTAGTCTGCCTCCAGCAGGTACAGAACAAGAACTGCCGGACTACAGCCAAACAAACTTGAAAGGCGTTGGCTCTTACCTTACCTAGAGAAAAAGCTTGGCAACTCCGCGGGCCTGCACACCGTCTGATTACCAAGCGGACTTATGACTTTTGTATACTTCTGCTGTCCCTGGCAGCTTCAAATTGAAACTTGGCTGCTAATGGGAAGGGCGGCAGGCTTCCAAACGTGCTGGTTATACATCTGACGAGCTGCCGCAGAACCTCTTCAAAATTGTCCACGATGACGAACACCGGCTTAGGTAGCAGAAGTGGTAGCGGAATTCGTAGCTTCTCCATCAGGAGGCAGAACCACTGCTGCTTCCTGTAAGCCCAGACACCTCGGGCATTCAGAGCATGACTGCGCAGGAAGACATGACCCAGTCACTTTTTGAACAGAACAAGGCCTAACTTGGCCAAGCTGACGTCTGTCACTCAAGTTGCTCACGGCATGCTTGAGCAATGTCGGGCGGAGGCAACCAAGTACTCACCTAGTTTTGGGATGATCCGGCACCGGGAGACTGGTAAGTCTGATGTATGAAGCCGAGACACATTGCTTGACCTCCGAGCCACCTTTCACGAGGGTGCCGAACATCTGGAAAGTGATCCACCTTGAGTTCGCATGACAACCAGCCACAAGGAGGCCAGCCAAGACTAAGTTGTTGGTCGGGAATCTATGCTCGTTTTCTGCATATGACGGTGACTTGTGGAACTTCTGTTTGCGTGCCTGGGGCGTGCACCGCTGCTCTGCGAGAAAGAGAGAGAGAGAGAGAGATAGATAGGTAGATAGGTTGATAGATCGATAGACAAGCAGAGAGAGAGGGCAGAACGAGAGAGAGATGGAGAGAGAGAGAGAGAGTGGTTTAAAAAGGATCAGGTGTGCCGAGAGTATGGGTCCCAGTGACAGCTAGATTCAAAGCTGACGACAGAAAGATGGTACTTCTGACTTCACCCCGAACTCCTGCAGTAGCTAGACAAGCAAGGCATGAAAGCGTAGCCAGCATGCTGTCCGAAGCTGTCTTGGCGATGCGCTTCGCCACCTAAGCATGCTTCGACAGTAGTCCCACGGTCATCACTATCAGTCGAACCGACGTCCGGTTCAACAACTCGTGACGTGTTCAAGCATCTTGTGGGCTTGCAACTGCCTGTGCTCCTTGACTGAGCGAACTTACGAAGCTGTTTGGCACGCGCTCCTCGCAGGATGCCGAGCCAAGGGGCCATTCATGTACAAACCTCGCCAGCAAATCCAGCTTAAGGGCCAAATGGTCCAGCGTCTCGACCATGGTATAGCCTCGTGCATGAGTCCATGCAGTTGCATCGAGCACCGTCGATTCAATGCATTAAGGGACGTAACTTTGAAAGAAAACACAACCCCAGCGGACGATGCCAAGCGGTCCCTCTTCGATAGCCAGGTGGCAGTGCGCAGCAGCACAGTCTTGCCACTTTGGCACTCTCCCTGCAGGACGACAATCCTTGGAGATAACGTGTCTGAAGGCTGCCGGAGCTACCAAAGTCTTGTTGTCATCTTTTGCCCTCTTACTTTTCCAGAAACCTCGGGATTGTTGGCTTCTCGCAAGCAGACATGCAGAGCAAGGTCCCTCAAGGTTGAGGATGTCAGGTAGGATATGGGGTGGAGAGCTACTGCTGCTCAGTGCAGACGGAAATATCACCTATGCTTGCCGATGTGTGCGGCAGCACTCGACCAATTATGCGACAATTACGATGCAGATTTACGCAGCTCGCATTCGGAGTACACACCGTGCATGGCTAGATCTCCATGTCACAACTTGCCCGGCGAAGTCCCTGGAATCATGTCGCAGTGCCTGTCTCTTTCACCAGTAGTTCTGCCTTTGTGCTTCGAGAGCCTAAACTACGCCTCCGATCTGCAGCTTGGCTTCCGATTGTGTCTCAGAAGCTTGTAAGGATCGGTGGAAAACCTCAGTGTGGAGCTTTGTACCCGAACAGAAGACCGTGCGAATGCGCGTCTGCCATTGTGCTGATTCACGGTCCAAGTGACCATACGTGCTGCGATGTCGGTGGTAATGGGCCGCCCTGGGCCATGAACGCATTGGAGTAAGCGCTGCGGCAAGCGGTGTGGTCAAGGAGTCTGAAGATGCAAAAAAGAAGATTCATAACAGTTGCCAGGGCGCTTCCATGCGAAGTCGATTGAACAAAGGCTCAACCGGGCGTGCTTGGGGATACCTTGAATGTTCGTGCCATGAAATTCAATATGGTCTTTGGCGAATTCGGTTTCGATGGAGGCACCGATAAACTGCTAGGCGCTTGTAGTTTGCTTCTCTACTGCCGCAAAGATGCATTGCCCGCTTTGCAGCACGTGTCACAGTAACCGTCCCAATGATAGCGCACACTGTTTGGATGAAGCCTGTGCGGTGCGCAACATGGAGCACAGCCCAACAAACAAGGGGTTGTAGCCGTGAGGCACCTATGCTCTTAGCATCGGCAGGGGCGCAGTGGAAAAAACAGTCTGGGCATGACCAAGCACGTCTGGCATCAGCCCTGCTGCCGAAAGCCTGCGATGTGGAAGTCACATATTACTGCTATACTAGTAGAAAGAGGCACGCTTCTGCTTCTGTTTGTAACTTTACGTTCTTGATCAATCTTGCAGCTCCGAAACCGAAGCCCGTGTCAAGACCGTACTTGACTGCCGTGTCCAAACCTTGGCCAGCATCGAGCACAGCCAAAGTTCACTTGTGCCTAGAACCCGATCGTCCGCCACTGAACATCATCGGGCATGACTCGACATTGCACTAGGGCGCATGCAGCTGACTGGTGCGGCCCTAACTGTAGCGGATGCACTCTGGTGCCTCTCTATGTTGGGAAGATGTTCCCGCTGTGCATGCCCTTTTGGGCGTAATTCAGCCTTTTAAAGCCATTTTGGGAAACAGCTAGACTTTAGAGCAGGATGCTCGATTTGCATAGGGCTTCAGAATCTGCCACGACTGCTCGGAACACTGGAGGCATCCAGTTTATCTGCTGCGTTTGCAGCCTCGTGCATCCTCTTGACATTGCCCGTCTGCCGTGCAACTACTCATCTGCGTGCTAGGCTCTGTTGCCCAGTATGAACGACAGGGGTGAGTTCTCATCACCTTGGCTTCAAACATTGCCGGCATGTCGTAGGAAGACGGTGTCCGGACCCACAAACATGCTGCTCGTATGATGCTCAGTCAGCAGATCGTCATGAGCTGCCAAATTTCACTCCAACCCTGAAGCAGTCAAAAGTAACATGCAAGTAACAACAACAATACCAGTACGCCCGTGGTCGCTGTCGATTCTGAACAATTGTGAAACTGCCTGGCCCCTATGATGCACTGATGCAGTCGTGACGCATATGACTAATGCGACTGGTATGCACCGGCGCAAACACCACTATGAAGAGTGGTCACACTTGGTGGTGCGGCTCCATGCCGTTGGTGGTGGTGCTGCTGCTCGTGATGCGGCCGTTCCTGCTTTGGGTACTGTGCCTCCTTTCGGGCTCGGATCAATATGAAGGCACATACCACCTCTTCGTGCGTCTGGCAGGCTGAGCTGGGTCCAAGTCCAAGATATCCAGGATCCTGGCCCACTCGATAAGGCAAAAGTTTTCATGAATTCAATTTGCTCCACTACGACTCGCACTTTTCACTCGGATTTTCTGCTCTGAATCTTCGCAACAATCGTGAAGCTCCAAATGTCAGGAGAGCCGTGTTGGAAGCTCCATCTTATGCACGCAAGTCTTCCGCCTTCGCTTTGACCACCCTGGATTGGCTGCGCCATACAATGGAGTCTGAGATGCTCGGCAAGGGGCAGCGTTCCATCTAAGTGGGTTCGGCTAACCCGTACTTCAAGTGGCACGGCTTCATCTTATATTTTGCAGCGGAAGTCAAGGGGTCTAGAGTCCAGGGTGAACTGCTTTGCAATTTGATCGCGACAAACCTTTAATGAGCCATCAAAGGCTGCAAGTTACATCAAAGAGTCCAGCTACGATTGATGCATCCTTGGACACTTTTCCGATGGTAATTTGGAAGCGAAGAAACTTTCTTCCCGGCCTTTTTTGCTGAGGGCTCCCTGCCCAGATCCTGACCATCTAAAGCCTTCGCTCGCCGCTTGGCTGCTCGCCGCCACTCAAAACCCGTGTGCGAAGGCTCGATCTGGACGAAGTGCGTGAGTTGTAAGAGTGTTCGAGTCCGGTAGGATCTTACTAGGCCGTGTCAGCACACGATCAAACTTTCCAGAGACTGCGTCACACCCCGCTTCTCTTCGAGAGAAAGAGGGTGGACTGTCCAGGTACCATCCTAACACGACATTGATATTGATGCCCATCAATGGGTGCAGATAGCAAAAACGACTGTGCTGCATTGGTCATGACGTGACATACGATATGGATCCCGTTGGCCTGCTTGAGGTTTAGTTCACAACCTAGTGTCTCGTGGCACTGAGAGCTGCTAGCAGCACGGACGGCCCCAACTTGCTCTGGTCACGTTTTGGGTTTGGTGTGTAGAGTGTGTGGAGTGGTCTCAGTGTGGCCACAGCGGCCAAGAGACTTAGTATGGGCCCGGCCGATTACTCCGCGCCCGCTTCACAAAGATCGGGCCAGCACCTGCCGACCCACTTCTGGTTTGCGCGTGCTGAATACCGTTCGTGATTTATCCGCTGCTGGACCCCGGCCTGGCTTGATCTCATATTTCTCGTGCAAAGTCTGTATTGCTGTCTCTGCCTGGCAGGGATTCACAGTTGCACCGCAGCTTGTCTCACCATCCAGTCTACTCCCCCCCTCCATCGCCCCTGATTTTTCTTCTGGCCCGCCTCGTCGAACAGCTCGTACTCTACAAAGGCGCAATTTTGGCCACTCTTTGACTTCCCGGACATGATGAAAGTCTGAGCAGACAGAGCGATTCATGTCACCGCGCAGTAGCCGCAACACAAGCGGCAAGCGCAAGGAATCGCAAGGAGCCTCACCTCTGGCAAGTCTGAAAAAGCTGTCTGCATAACAAGTTTAATCGGTCGAGGCCCGTAGGTGCCACAAGATGTGAATTAATTCTCCTTTATGGGGCAGGGCCTTGAGCACGTTGCCATATGCTTTGAAGACCTGAGCGAAGCTTCTCTGCATGCAGCGAGCATTCCCTGAAATGCAATTGCAGCTCGCTCTATGAAGTGCAGATTTTCAAGCCCTGCTTGGTCTGGCAATTCCTGCTGTCCAAAAGCCAAGGGGAGCACGTACTGAAGCTGGTCATCAGTGACATCCGGGGGCAAGTTGCCTACGAAAAGCCTCGTACCACCTGGCATCGGCCCCACTGCAACCACCGAATTGCAAGCCTTTCTCAGAAGCAGCGTACATTTTCGAAATCTAGGAAAAATGGGAAGCTCATGATAATCTTGTGGCGGAAATACCTTTGCCATTGCCACCTGCCATGCAGCCGCAGAAATCTCTTGGCCCCAACAGCTGGTTAACCACGGGACTGCGCCTTTGCCATCATCCCAGCCGCCACCACCGCCTTTGCCTCCATAGCAGCCTTTGTCAGGACAATGCCAGCACTGGCAACTCTCCAAGCCAAGCACTCCGAGGCCCAGCGCCTCCTCCGCCTCCACCTCCTCCCTTTCCCCAGCTGTCCCAAGATTCGCCGAGGCCGCCCTGTCAGGCCGTCTCACATCACTTCAGGAGAACACGACGGCAACGAAAGTGTATGCGAAGTGTGCTGTCGGCCGAGGATGTTCATGCTCGGGCTGGGTACGGAAATAAATCGGTAGATCAAGTGAAGAGGCAGCCGAAACGACGAGCGCCGGCCCTGCTACAATACAAAGTGTGAGCCTCTACGACTCTATGAAGTGTGCTACACTTCGGTGCAAGGAAAAGCAGGATGCTCAGCTTCACCTGCATGCCACCACCGCCAAAGCCGCCACCGCCACCGCCATAGCCGCCGTAGTGCCCGCCGTCTCCCTGCCACCGTGCGAATCAGCAAGTCTAAGTTTATCCAACCAGTCCCCGAGGAAGTGCCATCTCTGAAAGCCTCTCGCCCACATATTGCTTCAGGAGTTTGCTACCCAGCATTCAACATCATGCTCGGCTAGGCCCCGTGTTCCTTGCCATATCCGTTGCTCCAGCCACCGCCACCACCGCCGCCGCCTTTTCCTCCATCTTTTCCTGGCCGCGACAAACAATTCTGTCTGTGAGGGGGCATTGCTACAGAATTACACTGCCGGACACCGTTGCAAAAAGGACAGCACTGGAAAAGGGCAGCACCTCCCTTGCTTGATCTTGCCCAATTCACCTTGCCGGGATCAAAGCAAAAGAGCATTCTACAAGAGCGCCATTGGACACTTGTCGTCGCTGAACACTGTGAGAGAAGTATGGGAAGGCAGCGCATGCTTACAAAGTCCAGCAAACTTTGCAGATGGATGAAATGCGATGGTGTAGCCATAGGTAAATGAAGTAATAGCTGCACAAAAATGTCACACCAGGTTTTTAGTAGGCGATCCCTTTTGATGTGCTTTTTATACATTTTGCTCTCTGCTATTGGCCAACCAGGTCCTTTGATGCAGTAGAGGATAGCTAGAGGCCGCAGAAGGTCTCACTTGAGCCTATGCCTAGGCTACTGCAAGGACGGCAAGCGAAACAGAGCTGGCGAGGCGGGCTCCAGGCATCATCACATCTAACCACATCAGCAACGGAAGGCAAACAAACATCTTCACATGCAATCACACCGCATCAGCAACGTAGGGGAAACGGGAGGGAGGGGGGGAGAGCCGGGGCCACAGGGGGCGATTCTTTATGGGTCTGGCCGGCCTCCGGGCCCCCACTGGTAATGCAGATAGAAACGAAAGCCTCGCTACGCTAGCTTTCCTGATTCTTGCATGCCTCGGGATGGGTTGGTTGTGTTGGGGGGTGTAGGATAGAAGAAAGTTTGTCGAACCAAGGGTTCCAGTTTTGGTTACCCCCTACTAACAGTTTCAGATCCTCCTAAACCCCTGAAGGTTTTAGTTTTGGTTGCCCCCTAAACAGTTTCAGATCCTCCTCTCTCTCTCTCTCTTTCTTTCGCCAGGGCTAGGGGTAAGGTTCTCTCTCTCTCTCTCTCTCTCTCTCTCTCTCTCTCTCTCGCGGACTCAGAGGTCTGTCAGCCGCGTGGCCGTCTAACACTTCGTCAGATCCTCCTAAACCCCTAAAAGCACCCCTTACTCAGCTCTTGGTGCCTCGAAACCCTCCAGTTGTGCTACTACTTGCTCCACCACTTCTTTGCTACTGTATTCCTGGACTCCTGCTGTAGTCACTGTCGCACAGTCCTCCTGTACTATACGACATACAACAGCAACACCCCCCCCCCCCCCCCCCCACACCACTCCGAGGAGCCTATCTCCCTCTACAGCCCTAGGACGCGACCCCCCGACACTCAAGCATCCCTGGATATCCTGGTATTCTATAGTACTAGGATGTGCAGATCATGTCGCGTAGCAGTACCTCAGCACACTATAATATAGCCTCGGTTGCTGCGCAGACTGCGTGAATTGTCCTTCTAGCACAGGCCGTGAACTTCCCTGAACCCTGCCATGGCCTGGATGGCATTCTCTGCATCCTCCCGGATCCTTAGCTCCGGCCACTGCCGGAACGTCGACTTCGAGGTGGAGGTGTGATGGCTCTCACGAATCTAGTAGAGCTTGAGCCTGTTTGCTGCGTTACAAACCGGCCCTACCACTGGCAGCATGCTGTCTGTCCCGATTCTTCACAGCACCTGGGGCCAACACTTGTAGACCTGAGAAGCAGCGGGATGATGGGGATTGAAGTTTGCCATGTATGGCGGACATATCAGTACACAGCAGGCGATGGAAAAGCACGACCGTGACAGTGTAGGGCTGTCCTGGCCCGCAATACTCTGAGCAGCGTGCGCTGTTCAACGCCTTCGCCAGGCGAGAGTTTCCACAGTGTTAGTTAAGTTGAGACGACGTCAAGCGAAGCAGAAGGTTCATGTAAAGTGTAAACTGAACCACTATACCCGTAGCAAAGTGGGCTGGAGTGCAACAGCAACTGCCTGTGAAGTACAACACACACTCCTGACTACTCTCATGACTTGCAGCGGACCTGGATTGCTGTTTCTGCAGCTTCTCGGCTCTCGTATGTTACGAAGGCCTCGACGACACAGAAGCAACAGTTGTCTCCAAACAGCATGTCCACTGACTACTGACTGTCAGACAACAATGGGAAACAAGCTGCCCCTCAGCGCATCTTCGAGCATGGCTCGGTAAGACCCCTCTGCCAGGACCATGGACCCTTGTCGCGAGAAAAGAGATTGGATAGGGCCCTCACAGATTGCGGCTCCCTATCCCAAAACCATGCGGGATCTATCCCCGGTCCCCTCTCACCACCCACACCACTAAGACCCGCCTTTCCATTCGCTCTTGGTCTACCCCTTCCCAATTCCTATATACCTATTACCAGGAAGTTATGGCCCGACAAGTTTTTGACAGACCTGATACGGAACTAGCACGTTTGCCCAAGCCCTGTGTTCGTCATTCAATATCCGGGAACTCAGCTCGCATGGGTTGAAATCCAGCAGTTAATTCTTATTGCGGCTGGCTTCCAGTGCATGCTTGTGTCACATTGCCATGTATCGCTTTGCAGCGCAGCCTCGCATATCCTTTATCAGACCTGAGCGCGGTGCGCAAGCTTGTCCGGTCTGCGATCGATTTCCTTGGTAACTCAATCATGTCACATTTCTGCCACCCCCACTTCACACAAACCAGGTGAACAGCTTAATTGGCAAAGCAACTTAGAGCAACCTAAAGCAGCCAAAGCTGCTGTCACCAGCGATGACATGCACATCAGTGACAGTACCATACGTCTTGAAGACAAACTCGATCTCCTCGAAACACATATGACAATTCCAAAACGGTGTTTGGTTCTGTGCAAACCTGCCGTGTTGCTCGAGGATTTAACCGCATTTGCAGCCACTGTCCTCCTTCTGGATGTCAGGGGGTAGGGAACCCACGAACAGCTTGTTCTCCTGGGCAGGCACTGGGGCTAACTGAAGCATCACTGGTTTTCACGACTGCAGCCGCAAGAGCAGACCCCCTAAGCCCTATCCTCAGCGCCTCACAAAAAAGGGCAATTGGCTCCAGGGCGACCCGAGTATCGTGCAGCCAAGGTGCGCCCATGTCTGCCCAAAATCAGGAGTACGTCAAATCCTGCAAGATTGCACGAAGCAAAAACTGGATGGGCGAGTAACGAGTCTCCAATCTTAGCAGCACGACAACCCTTGTTGAGGCAACCTTTCAGCCACATTCGCGTACAACGTGCAGGACCAAGGTTAAAGCCAATCGCTAATATCCAAGAGCCAGTGAACATGCAACACGGTTCTATGCCTCTCAAAGCTTTGGCACAGCGAATTCTCAAGCCGAAGTACAAGTGCCGAAAAACGAGTCCGATCAGTCTTTAATCTGGTGCCTCCGCTTTCTCCGCGGCAGCGGGGCCATGGGCGCGAGGGCGGCACCCAACGCCCCTTTGAAGTCCGGGCCGATTGCAGCAGCAAGCAAATACAGTAGTCAATCTAGATTGGCACCGCCCCGTCGTTTCTACCGCAGTTCATGCAACTTTAGACTTCAGAAACAAGCCTCTCTGAAGAGCTCTCATAGGTTCTTTTTGGCTGTCACTTGACCCTGCCCCGGTTGGGGCTCAGTTGTGGGGGTGGGGGGTCTCTGGCGGAGATCCATCTTCAAGCTCCTTTTTGGCGCTTGTGGCACCTGTTTAAACCTCGGAGTGAAACGAACAGGAATCGCAAACATCAGTCGATACCGGGACTCATCGGAATACTTGCAGTCAGCGACAGACAGCGATTCCCGGAGCCAGTCGCTTGGCAGCTAGAGACTACAAAGTGCTGCTACAGCAGCCGGGAGGCATGGGGCTTGAAAGTTGAAAAGCTGCCTTGTGTTGCTGGTATGAGTCGTGTCAGGGCAGGCTGATCTGAAAGCCCGATCGGAACCGAAACTCTGAGCTTGGGAAGCTAGTATGGCCCCATCCTGCTCTTGACAGGTGGCCCATCATTCGCCCACTCCACGAAGATGAACTCCTGAGTTCCTGCTAGGGCAGAGAAAGTCCAATCCACGAAGCACAAACGGAGGAAAAGATTCGCATTGTCAGGGGGTCAGGCTCTGTATTTTCTCGCAATGCAAGACATGTAGCAACCAGTGCACCAACAAGTTCGGCTCAGCTCCCATAGCACCAAAACAACACTATGCGAAACATCTGCGACAATGTGGAAAAACACAGCACAGGGAAGAGCCGCAGCGGCTGGCACGCAGCTGGGACCTCTGCTATGCTCCCGACGCACATTCCCACATCCCTGTGGTATTGTCAAACAATTCAACGTGCCCGTCAATATTCCTGGTATCTCTTCACCAGCATGTGGCTGGTAACATTCGCGAAATCCAGTTGGGGCATTACTGCCACACGGCACTTGTCGCAATCAGGCCACCTTCGGCATGGTCTCGTCTTCCGCGTAAAGATGTTCCATCCAAAGGCTTCTCCGCAGTACACTCCCAATGCAGCGCAAACAACAGCAGCGCCATGTGAGCCGACAAGCACCGTGTCCACATGGCCCTCTAGTTCCAGTGTGTACCTGCAGCTGGGGCCGGCTGTTTTTGTCACGTGTACCAGCCCAACAGCACATCTGCAGCCCATCATAAGGCACAGCATGCAAGGTTGGAAAATACGACACACGTGCGAAACATAATGTTGTTCTCTCTGGACATGCGTTGGGGCTAGCGGCTACATGCTTTTCCCCACTGAGGGCTGGAAGAACCTGAAACAGTTGGGTTGGGAACAATAGACGTCCGTAGAACCATGGCCGGGTTGCACGTGCTCCTCGTAGCTGCAGGAGGGTGCTTTGCAGGTCTCGGGGCGGCACCAGGAGCCATTAACTCGCACCGGATGGCCAACCTGAAGTTGAGGCCAGAGTGGACTCGCAGCCGTTCTGCTGCCAACAGAGGTAAGGAGGGGAGTATGCCGATGAGGTTGTGTTGTGCAGGGAGACTACGAGTACGGAAAAACCACACAGCCTTTCGTGTTTCGAAGAAGTCCAGAAACAGTGAGCTTGCATCCTGGCTCCACCTCAACGGTTTCAGTGAGGCCAGCAGCACAGCGCCAAATCCTGCTGATCTGCCGGTATTTCTCGCTTTCAACGGAGGATCCGGTCCGCACCATGTCCCCTTCGAGCAGGTCTCGCATGAACTTGCGTGTTTTTTGGCCAGAAGCGGCAAGGACATGGAACTCACAAAAGTCTGTAAAGCAAGTGCAGGGAATACGGTTCCAGTCTGGGCTGGATGTACGTCTTGTTACCACCGGCGGTGGCCGTTTGATTCGCACCAGCTGCACCACAGAGCCACGGGCAACCTGCGTGTCGCCCAGACGAGCATCAGCAGCAACCTCCGTGCCCTGCACGAAGAACTTCAGGTCCTCTGATTCGCCCTCTTGACGGAGGATGGCTGCGAGCTCAGCCACCGTGCTAGTCTTTGGCATGACACGGTCAAGAACCTTGGCTGCTGCACTTGCGCACCGAAACGAGTACTTGCAGGTGGGCAAAGAGAAATGCATAGCAATGCTCTGCTGCCGAGGAACCTTTTCGCCAGACATGAGCTGCACACTCACTCTGAGCTTCATGGAATCTCCTCCCAACCCGTTCTGTGTTGGGCTTGGGCAGGTCCAGGGTCCTGGGTCTCGGAGCGACTTCAGGAAGGCTTGCCCAAGTCGCCCGCCAGCTGACCTCAGTTTCTCCGCCAGCCAAGCGCGGTCTCCACCTGGAATGAAGCAGCCGAGGGCAACAGCATCGTCTGCTTCAGTGTGCTTAAACTCCCACTTCAAGGCGTCCTGGAGATGTGGAGACTGTGCTAGGTCGCGCAGCTGAGAGCGCAGCAGCTCGTTTAATTGTGACATGGCGACTCGACCTGCATCTTTCGGCGAGCTGCGTATCCGCTCAGACTCTCCAGGCTTGCAGGGCACATGAGGGAGCAAATGGCCAAATATGCGCCGGCAATCTTCAGAATACAGGGGGTGCGTCATATGGGCGTGCCATATCCAGTCCATCTCTACGGCAGGCCCGGTTAGGCTCTTTGACCCCGCCTCACCCATGATGATTAAAAAGCGAATGTAAAATACATGCAGGAGCTTGAGAAACCTCGACATCAAGTCCGGCTGCTTGGCTGCAGGGTTGTCCACCTGGAAGACGATAGCTCTCGGATCACTGAGAGGTGTAAGGCCAGCTTCTTCAAAGGCAGCAAAGGCAAGGACAAAGGCTGTGGGAACGTTAACTAACGCGTCTGCTTCCATTGAGATCTGAGAGGCAACCTCTCTGGGCTTCTCCACAGCTGCAGCCTTCTCTTCCTTTGCCTTCCACGTAGCCGGAGGCAATGGTCCCACACCGAGCCCAACCCCAGCCAGCCGCTGGCAAAAGCCAGCATAGTCGTCCGTGTGCAGCTGATGGGTGAACCAACCAAGCCAAGCATCCATCGGAGGGCTCACAGAGGGCCGCATGTAGCCAGCATCTCCAGCAGGGTGTCGCGCTGCTATAGCTGATTCTTGCCGCATGTATGTCAAGTAGCTCGGCTGGGCCTCGGAGAGGAAGAAGGAGAAATCCCACCACGGCATGTGCCGGGCAGCGTCCATCCAGCTCTTCAGAAGCCCAATGGCCGAGAAAATCGGTGACACCTGTAAGGGTTGGCAGCATTGCAGCAGCTTCACGACTGCATCCACAGAGCCAACCTCCGCGTCTTGGAAGGATCGCACAAAACTCTTCGAAAAGTCGAGGCCTGAGTTAAAATCCAGAGTCACCAGACCGTCTTCGGGAAGGGTCTTGAGCTCTTCCAGGTCGCGTGGAAAACCTTCTAGGAGAATCGGGCTTCCGAAAGGTCCATACATCGCAACCTCCTTGAAGATTTCGGGAGCCACAAACTTGCTGCCCACGGCTTCGCGGATGCGGTCGACGTTGATGTGCTTCAGGCGGGTCCCCAGCCTTGCAACTGCCTGTCGGCACACGGCGCCACAGAGTTTCGGGTCGCCGCAGGCAAAGACCAAAGAAGGTTGCATGTGAAACCGTGCAGATCCTGAGACAAGCTGAGGGCTCCCTGTGGCATCGATCTGCCGCGTGATCCCGGCTTTGCGGAATGCAGAGATCACCGGCTCCGTGCTCGCCCTGTAGAACCCGAGCCTTTCCTCAAACTTCTCGTCTCCCTCCCGGCCTCTTTGCTCGGCTCTTTCCTTTAGGACGTCATCAGGAGCCTCGAGAACCAATACCAAGGAAGGCTTCACCACTTCTGAGTGGTTCTGCCAGAACCGAAAGCCGTCCATCATGCGAGGGAAGCCATTTACCAACACGAAGTGGGCAGGTTTCGCAGTAACTGTGCGGACTGCCTCCTCCATCTCTTGACGCAGGGCCTCGACTAGGGTGTCTTCTGGAGGCCGACTCGAAAATTCACGGAGGGTGACACCGAGATCAATGTGTTTGCCTTTGAAATGCTTGGCCAAGTTCTCCCCCAAGGTCGACTTACCGCTGGCAGGAGGCCCCATGAGCAGCACGACTTTGCATGGCTCGTAGGCCCCGCCAAGCGATGTTGAAGCGCCTAAGTGGGCTGGGGCGGTTGTTTGGCAACAACAAGGGCCGAGGACCCTAAGCGGACTTTGGAAGCTTTCACCAAGATGCCGCCTGCCATCTCGTCTCTGTCGCTCATCTCACGTTTCCGCACTTCCTCAGACGAGGCGAAGAGTCCGCACAGTGCCGATTTATCTCTGAGTTTCCTAGGAGGCTGAGAATCGGAGACACATCGAAATCACCAGTCTAAAGCAGCCGACATCAACCATGCAGTGCTGACACTACCGCTGTATTGTATTCAGAGTTGCAGCTGCTAGTTGCTAGAACGCTCTACTTCGCCGTTGCATTCGAGCATGACGCAGTGTGCCCCACCGCTGAATGCAGCGCAGCGTCGGCTATGGATGCAAGCAGGGCTTTGGCCTGATCCTGTGACACCTAGGCGGGCGGGCCACCCAGAAAATGTCAGCACCAAGAAGCCAGTCCCCTTCAATCTAAAGATATCTCTACATGACTCTCTATCCACGTGTGTGTGTGTGTGTGTGTGCGTGCATGGCATCTGTAAGCTCTCTTCGGCTTTCCCCGCGGATACTTGACCGCTGCACCTCCAGCTTTTTCAGGAGGTCGAGAGTGAGAGACCGCAGAGCCTTGGCTCTTGCAAGCATGCAATGCACCCGCTGGAAGGGACCAACGCCGCCTTAGCCCCCGACCTGACCGTCGATCCGCTCCTTCTCAAACACGGGGACCAGGCTGTCGTGTCCAGATTTCTGAAGCCAGTTCACCACCGTCGCAAGGCTCCAGGATGACAGCGAGGCACTCATGGCGACATGAACTGCCAGCGGAAGGCGACGGGGCTACAAATGCCCAAATGCCGCTGTCTCAGGAGCTGTACTGTTGCGCAGGCCTGGAGTGAAACTCTTCCTAGAGGCTCGCGCATCAGTGAGAGAGCACCGAGCATAGGAAGAGTGACAGCTGTAGAAGATACGTAGGAGCAGAAGACTCGCCAGTGTGGTTGTCAGGACTTCTTAACATCCACTCCGCGAATTCCGGCCTGCTCTCATGGAGTAGCGATTGTGCAAGCCGACTTGCGCCGCTTCGGCCTGCGAGGTCAAAGCGAGCCCAGCAGCTCAGCAGCTCAGGTGCCTATGTTCGCTGGCATCTGAACTGACCGGAGTACAAGAACGGAGCATTCGTCCTGATCCTGCGCTTTTCGGTGGCGAATCTGATTGGTATCCGACAGTACCACAGTTGCTTGCTTTCATTTCAGACTGCATCACTGAGAGCTCTGCGTCTTCCAGCTTGCGAAATTCTACCTAAGGTAGCCGGGGCGCTTTGGTGCTAGGATGCGTGGCTAGTTGTATTGCCATCGACTGCAAGGGCACCACACTGCACGCCGGGATCCACACATAGGCGCAGCTCTTATAGCCCTTTGCTCCACGGCCGCTGATAACGTGAACCTGCCGCATTCTGCAGGCCGATGCACCGGCTTTGCTGGGTAGGGGAGTTCGAGACAAGCCAAAGGGCCAATCGTCAGGGAGTGCCACTTGTCTGAAACTGCTTGGGCTAAAACTCCTACCAGCCAGCGACTCTCCTGCAAAGACTTGTCACCAGCAGGACGAAACCCAAACGCTGCGACCTTGTCCAGCATGCCATAGTGCTCGAAAACCTTGGAAAGCTGACTGAAACGCTGTCACCGGCGTCTCTTCTGCAAAACAACAGTTGAAGAAGCAGACATGGTAGCCTATAGGTGACGTTTGGTAGGTGGATTATACAGTAGATGAGATGTCATAGCTGAAGGAGGCAGCGAAGCAGGTTTGCACCTCAAGGAAGAAGCACTGGAGCTCTTCTTTTGAAACAGGCTTCCCTCTCGATCGCAGAGCAGAATCAAGCTTTGAATTCCAGCACCTTGCAACAAGTCGTAGGATCTATAGGCGAAGCATGATGACATGTTCTGCTCAAGAAGGCGGCTGAAGGTCATCGCATCTCCCGGCACTTGCGTTCTCCCCATCTGCAATAATAGCGCAGCAGCAGCTCTCCACCTCTTTGCTTTGGTGCATGTCCCGAGAGCCAAATTGTAGCTCATCGTGTCTGGCTCTATATGCTCTGTGTGGAGCCTGTTAAGCAGCAGTATGGCTTGCTGCCAACGTCCAGACCGTTCGCACATGCTCAGCACAGCATTACAAGTTATCAGATTCGGTTTCACTTGTCTGCTAGCCATGTCGTGAAATATTAGCAGCCCCAGCTGCCAATTCTTGCACGCACTGATGACCGGGCTAAACGACAAAGCATCGGGTTGCAAATCTAACTGGTCCATGCAGAATAGCAGGCTGACTGAGCCCTGCCACTGCTCTCCATCAGCGCACGCCTTCAACGCTGCACTGCAGGTGTCCACACTTACATCACATCTCCCGTCTACCAGCTTTTGAAGCAAAGCCACTGCGCCACGCCACTGAATGTGACGGCCACACATTGTAATAGCAGCAGTGTGTAGTGCAGCCCAACCACGCTCGAAGCACTTCCCCAACAAGCCTCGGAAGAGTAAGTGAAAAGCAGCCTTCCAAGCAAACCCATCACTGAAGGCTGCCATCGCAGTGGTGCTGGTGGCAACATCAACAAGGCCTTCATCCAGGCTCAGCATAGCGAGCGCTGTCCGCCATCTCTGTCCCGAAAGGCAGGCTTTTGCAGCGACGGATCGGGTGATTTCGTCGTGAACAAGGCCGGTGCCATCGGCATGCTGCAACAAACTGAGCACCAAGTCCCATGACCTGCATGCACCAAGTGCTGAGGAGCAGGTGGTCCCGTCGAGTTGCAGCATCGACGCCCGCAGCCGATGAAGCAGACCTACGGCATCTTGCCACTGTCTGCTGCTTGCGGCAGCATGTACTGCAACATTGCAGGTGACTACACTTGGCTGCAGCCTTCTACTGCACAGGCCCGTCCACAAATCGCTGGCAAGCGCCCATTGGCTGCCAATGTCGCAGGCGCTTAGAGCAGAACTCAGTGTAAACATGTCTGATTCCAGACTGAATTTGCGTGAGTTATCAAAAACACATAGCGCCCGCTGCCACTGCTGCGCGCGGCAGAATGCTGTGATGGCCGCGTTGACCACGATAGTGCCGAAACCCAGCTCTTGACACAACACCTCTTCGAGGAGAGCGGCTGCCTCCACCCATTGTCCACTTTTGCCGTAGGTAGCGAAAGCAGTGGTGCACACGACACCGTTGAATTCCATTCCCATGCCGCGCATGTCAGACAGGAGTTGAAGTGCCTGTTGCCAGCTGTCGCCCTTCTCTAAGGCACTAAGCATGGCGCCATAGGTGACAACATCAGGTTGCAGTTCACCTCCTGGCGTGCATTCACTGAAAATCCCGACTGCCTGCCGCCAACGCTCATTTCTGGTAGATGCAGTGATTGCGGAATTCGCAACGACTGTGCTTGGCTCGATGCCTCGGCAGGCCAACTCCTTTGCCGAGCCCAATGCACGGTGCCAGCATCCGCCCTTGCCGTTCGCACTAATGACGGAACTGACTATCACCACATTCAGCTCCAAACCTCTCGCGTGGATTCGATGCAGCACGGAAAGCGCTCGTCGCCATTTGCATCCTTTGTCACATGCATTCGTGGCAGCTCCGTGCACGCGGATGTCTGGTCGAATCCCTTGCCAATCAAGCTCTGAGAGTCGGTGGAGGGAATCGGGCCAAAGACGATCCTGCATAGCAGCATAGCAGGTCAGCCCCTTCTTCAGCGGCCGAAAGGGATCATCGACAGCTGCAGGCAAGCATGGCCACGGAGGACCCCTCAAGCACTGATGGGCATCGAAGGTCACACTGCCCGTCACTGAACAGTGGGAACCGAAATCACGACCCCTGTCGTCGTCAGGTAGCAGCCAACTTCTGCTAATTTAATTAAGCAACGTCACATGATTGAAGCTAGCGGATGCAAGGATTCTGAGCTGGCCACTTTCGAAACTGCAGGCACGTCGACATCGGCGGGCAAGTTGTAAGCAATGAGTGGGCCTGCTGTGAGACACGCGCATCTGTTGTGAACACTGACAGCTCCGCACGGGAGTCCCGCACGGGAGTCCAATATAATATCTTGGATTGAGGCTTGGCCTACTTTGAGTCTGAGCCTCTGCCCGAAGTGTTTAAACTGAAGCTGCTACGACGACTGCACTACAGCTGCTTGGGACGGACTGTGCATGTTGCGTCGGCGGCCATGATGAGGATGAGATTCGGCGATGCGAATGAGAACGAAGCCTGCTGCTTAACCTTTCCTGGTCTCTGGATGGGGCCTCGTGATCTGCTGACGGGATCCCAGCCGGCTCTGCCTGCACCAGAGAAGCAACTAGTGATGTCATACAGTTGTTTCCGTCACTTCACTCAGTAGCTAATTATGCTGTTCGGACCATCCGCAGTGGATTGGTCTAGCTCCGGCATCTAGCTGTGTGTTGGGTTTCAGCTCTTACAGCTGGGACGATCCAGCGATGCGAGTTCGAAGGTCTGACGAGTGATGCCTAATGCGACGGCATCCCACGGCCGTCACACTCGCACCAGAGCATTCGATTCCCGTCGTTATCCAGAGCATGATCAAGTCCAGATCCGCAGTGCAACTTCGGCCCAAGCCTGGTCTCTTGCCACTGGAACAAAGGGCGGAAGATAGAGAGAACTCTGGGGTGCGCACGGTGTGACACACTAGGCAGGTCGCTGCTGAAAATCCCACTTTTGGGCATTGCGCCACGGCAGAGGTCGGGAGTCAGAGTTGGGTTAGAGTCGGACAGCTTTCAGCGAGGTCTCGGCAGGAGCTGAATCTCGTCCTACACTGCGAAGTCAAAGCGCAATGAAGGCATTTGATGTTCTGAGCAAAGAGGTTGTCACAGCCTTCGCATTGCTTATCTGTCGAGCTTCGAGGAAGCAGTATCGATCGATGAGGATGAACTGAACGCCAGAAACTTTGAGCTTTGCAACGCGCTATACACAAACGCTGTCTGTGAGGCGGAAAGCACACAGCGAAGTCAGCTAAGTGCGAAAGCACAAACGTCGTTGTCGCAAGTCGGACGGCCCTAATTGCCTGCCCTCGAAGCCCGTCACGCGCACAGACATGACGCCTTCATCCACCTTCATCCTATAGTTATTCCGATGTGCACAGTCTGTGGAGCCTCTCGCGTCGGCGGGTCGCCAACCTCGGAAGCGGAGTCCGGTGCACTCGACACTCACATCACGAAGATTAAGTAGCATCTCGAATGTCAAACTCGCCGCAACCAACCCAATGCGAAGCTTTCGAACAGGAGCTGAAATGGGCACCTGGCCGCCAGCCCAGGCACTTCCTGTGATGTAGTCGTGCGGGGCCTTCTCTCGCAGCAGAAAGCGGGATGGGGAGATACGTGCAACACGACAATGCTCCATAGTTTGTAACACTTTCAATTATCCTAGCCGGGACCCAGGAGTCTGCGTGGTTCATGCGGTCCTTCGAAAGCGAAGATCTATAACTAGTGCCCGGCCCACCAAACCAAACGAAGCTGCTGGTGAGCACTCGTTTGCTCCAGGCGGCATTAACTTCAATCGGACAAAACTTCCTACCCCTTCTTCCGGCCTCCGTCAAAGCCGCTTTCCCAGGTGCTGGTTCCTTATCCTTTCCTTTGCCTGTCATGCGAAGTAAGGTGTGCAAAACCAAGCGCGAGGTTCCACAAAAAACGCAAACACACAAGCGTCTCGATGGTGCGTGCCGTCATCGCAGATGCTGTTTTTTGATTTCCCCTCGCAGCAATCACACCGCGAATGTGGCCTTTGTCACCTTTGCGAGTGTTCGCCCACTCCACCTGCCAGCAACCATGGTTCCAAAGCATATTGACTGTCCGAAGCTCTTCTCCAATCAAGCATGGGAAAGCCGCAAATCGCAAGAGTCGGTGCGTTTTACTTGTCTGCAACCTTTGCATTCACGAAATGATCGCAGCAAGCATCCATCTTACTGGGGCCCCTGCTCTAAAGGCGTGTGGCTCGATGCCACCTACCCCTACTCGCAGTGAATTAACATCTTTATTGAAGAAGCGACTGAGAAACACGTACACACAAGGCCAACACAAGTCTTTAAGACGTACACAATCCCGGAGGAAACAGCACTCGAAGTCCTTGCTCCTGAAACCGACTGAGGTTCTTGGCAGTTGAGTGTACACTGTGCCGTACTGAGCCTCTGCTGTAGCAAGGCCTGCCACTGCATCCTTCACGGCTCCTGGCCTCTGACATTCGTCACTTCGGCAGGAGCCCTGTATCGCCTGGTGAAACCAATGTGAAACACACCCGGTGCAAGTTGCTTTCTGCAGACGGCGGCTGCCATAAGGCAAACCAGGATAGCAGCTCCCAGAAGAAAACCAGGGTCGGCTTGAGAGCTGCAAGTACTAGTATTCGCCGTCGACGAACCTGGACCACTGACAAAAAAAGGGAAATACAGTTGCAATAAAACAGATGGTTGAATCGCATCCAGTCTGCACGAAGAAGATCAATGTTGGGCTCTGGGGTGTGCTCCGGGGGTACCATCTGTCGTAGTCGAACCCTTCTGGTGCAACCAGGCAGCCCAATGGGTCCATACTCGACCTGCTTGTCAAGTGCGGGGCCGCCCCCGCTCACCTGAGATCGCACATACTCATTTCCCATGGCCAAAGTGAAGCCCAACCGGCTTATGCAGCCAGGTCAGTCAAGATGCCCAGGCCAAGTTTATGAGCACTCTGTCCCTTTCAAGTCCAGTGCCAACCTGAGTCACAGTCGGAGCATCTGCCCAAGTTCCCGCAAAGTCTGCATGTCATTAAGCAGAGACAGCGTGCATGACAAGGGGCCACTTGGTATCTGAGACCAGGCCCGTTGACCAAGGTATCGTGGGAGATCTGGAAGACTTCCTGTCAGATCAATCTCGCTGCTTCAGACGTGCTGGGATTTGTGGAGCAAGTAAATTCTATCCGCGGGTTGGCGACGTACGAAGACTTAACCAGGAAACATCGCAATGTGAAGAACTGCTACAGTACTGCACAGCCCTATGCAAGAGTTCATGATGCCAATCTCATGGCCTGGGTGCGCATGCGATTTAACCTACGTGTAACACCCAGCAAACTGCAGGCGAACCTGTGTCAAACACTCGTTCTTGAAGATCGCCTTGGCAGCAAACGGTGGTCAAACGGGGACCTAAAGGTTCAACTTTTCAACTCGTTCAGTTGGCAGATTGGCTGTGTGAAATAGCAGAGAACTGTGGTCCGGTCTACAAGGTTTCGGTCCTAGAATGTCATAGCAGTGTAAGTTTAGCCTGTAATGATGCAGGAATTGCCGAAGTCTTGGGCATGGTACTCTGCCTCCCTTGCAGTGGTCCCGGTGCGACAGAGGAACGCTCATCTTGCAAGTGACTACCAGGTCCACTCGATGCAGCGCGATCTCCAGGCCCATATCAAATTCCATCTGCGAGCAGGGGCACTTTGCACGCACTCCGCGGCACTTTGCAAACGTGTGAATACTGTTGCGCAGTGTTTCCTTGCATGCATTCATCCGAGATCCTGGTTCAGCAAGGACAACTTGTAATGGCTGCAGGCCCATTGCCCCAGCGCCAGCTTAGTGGGATCATGCTTGTTCTGAACATTCTTGTTGCTGATAGCGGCACCGGTCAAAGGCGTTCATCTCTCCCTCTCCCCTCTCGCGGAAACCCCAAGCTGCCCTTCAGCGCCTTATTTCCAGAGCCCGTCAGATGCACCGGCGCCGAGGGCGCGGGTGCTGCAGATGCAAGGACTCGAACGGAAAAAATGCCTCGAGGGTGCTAGGTTTTGTTGGAGCTATGAGCTGACATGAATCATACTTCACAAGCCGGGCTGAGATCTTGCACTTCCCCTGTGGATTTTATTTGTGAGATAAGGCAAGCTTTCACCGAAGGTGCATAGATCCCTGCTGTGCTCACCTTTTTCCAACTGCTTTCGCTTCGGTGGTGTGTTCTACGATTTCGGACTCCCTTCGGAGTCCTTCCTGATCGGGGTATCTCGAATATCTGAGTCACATTTCATACAGACATGTTATGTCGAGATGCAGAAGGCCGACCGTTTCGACTCTCACACTCACCGACCGTTTCGCTGTCGCTGATGCAAAGTGAAAGTAGAGCAACATCGAGACAGCTATATAGGGTTCGGGATGGTGGGAGAAGAAGATTTACTGAATCCGAAACTTATACCAACATGGCCACGGAATGTAGCCAGTTTGAAGTGGTCCACTCATGCAGATCCTCGGAGTCGATCGGTGAATGATGAAGGCAATGAGCTGTCGTTTTGCACACGCATGTGCTGCACTAGAAGTTGCCACACCACGGCGACCACAACTAAAACAACCCCACACCGCCACTGGCGAGCTGATGTAGATTTCTAACACAAGCGGCAGCCAACAGCCGAGCTGCCGGAGAAGGAAGTCGCGCTGCACAGGAACCCGAAGTACTTGCCTGTTCATGCTTGTCATCAGGCAACTGCTACCGCTACTTTGCACAGACCAACTGTTGAACTAGCTGAAACCCTCCAAGGCTTGCCATGACATCCAAGCAAAGTCCACCGCACGCCGTGAAGAGGCCCGGTGCCATTGTTGAGTCGAGGTGAAGTGGCAGGAAAAGACCAACATTGGCAAGACATTCCTCTTCAAGGCCTTCGCCGTAGGAGAGGCCGACGAAAACCTCGTGCTGCGGGTTCCACAACAGCGACGAAGGCTCCTTGGAGCTGTTTCATCAACGAAAATTGCTCTCGCACAATCGAAGCATCGCATGGGGAATGGACAAGCTTACTTGCTGTGGATGCCAAGGGGCGGAAAGTGCTACACGAAGTCGACTTATGCCAGAGTGGCGTAGGACGTCTGCCTGCACATCTAAACTCGGTTTGTTCTCAACCTGCCCGCTGTTTGTCTTTTTGCACAACTGGTCCGAATTGCCAGGACGGGCTAAATGCTCGAATTGTAGGAGCGCAGTGCATCTCTGGATATTGAAACATTGAGAAGAAAATTCTCGTCCGGACTAATCCCTGAACAAGGGCAAGTCCCCTACATTCCGTGGTCTCCGATCGCTCCCCTGCCGCCTGCAGCAATCGCTCTCCGGCACCGAGGTCGAAGGAGCAGCCTTGGGCGAGCACCTGCCAGCAAGCTCGAGACACGGTTGATTACGCACAGACTTTTCGAGACAGAAACCCATGGAAGCAAACACATACAACTGATGAACAACCACCCGCACACACAGGTATGAATGATCGTTGTTAGGCTCTAGCTGGCAGCTATCGATTGCTTGGACATCTGCCACCGTTCCTGTTGCATGTACAGCTGCACAGCGAGAACCACCACCCCGGTTACACGCACCGAGTACCTTGCAGATTCCTTCGCCATGCCCCAGCACACAATGCATCTCCCAGTTGTCACCCTTGTCCTTCTAACGAAACTCAGCCAGACTGCTCAGTTTGGAGGCTGCAAATAAATCGCAGCGCGGCTTCAGTTTTGCATGCCGCCAAGAACGACAACTTAAAGACTACCAAGGGCTAGGGCCCGGCTAGGGCAAAGCCTGCTTGAGCTCGAAACATACAGCTATGGCGGACTGATAAAATCCAGTGTTCTCGACTTGAAGAGATTAGTTGGAGTTGCAGGAATGCGCATTGCCTTGCCTTCTTTCCGCGGTAATGGAGGAACGTGGCATCGGCCTCCTCATCATTGCCTTGAGGGGGTTTGGCAGACAAGGCTGTGGCCTCGCCGTAGGGAAGGGATGGACTGAGACCAAATCCTGACATCAAGATATACCGTTGCATGACGACGCCTTCAGGCTGAAGATCCGACTGGAAGTTCTCGATCATCGCCTCGTGTTCCAAACGAGGCACCAGCCCAGTAGAATTATAGTATGTCAGCCATTGAGGCACTGAGGTTACAATCGCTTAGGGCATCTTCTGGCAGTCCACCACTCCGTGATATCGCGCGCCTTCGTGAAGTCTGTGACGTCCCCTATCTCATTCTTGTGGTTGCGGGGTTTCTTGCCTGGCAATCTCACATCCAGCTCTTGGCATCATGCAAGAGCTGGGGTTTGGATTGCTACACATGAATGCCGAGTGGACAGCTGACCTGGTGCTTGTTTGGCATTTGGGTACTGCGGCCGCTTCTAAACTTCATCCGCATGTTCTGGCGCAGTTGCCATGATACGCAACCCGCCGCACCGCGCCTTTCGTGGCAGTGCCGTTGACTATGTGCTCCAGGCCCTCCAGCCCAGGAATTGATACGACGTTGCCTGGCACAAACTTCGCAAGATGCCTGCATGACTGCACCGGAAGGGGGCAACCGGCAACACATAAGAACCCAAACATGACTGATATTATCGTGTGCCCTCTGTGAAGCCAACGGCCTGACTCGTCCACCCAGCCCATCAAAGAGAGCCTAGCGGCATTGACAAGTCTCACAAAGCAATCGAGCGAAGGCTCAGCAGAGATGACCAGCAAACTCTGGGGCCCTTTCTGCGTTGCTTCCACGGTACTCGTTCATACTGCGATCGAGAGGCCAGTTCTTCATGGCGACGCGCGAGTCCTGGCCAGGCCTGCCAATGCAGTGCAGGAACGCCGCTGGAACGCTGCAATATTTCCTTCTGATGTATCATGCATGGCGTACATCCACTCCCACACCGAATATCACTTAACGAGGCAGTTCAAAGGACTGCAGATGCCGGGCAGAAGGAAATTTTCGTTTCGCATGGGTATTAAATCATGTGCGCGCCTGAAGCATGCCAATAGCCGGACGATGTCCTTAGCTTGCACTGCGCTGGCAATGCAGCCATGGGTGGCGCTGCACTCAGAATGGCTAAGCATAAGCTGTCTTGGTTACTGCAAACAGCCATTCCCGACGACAACGCACTAATACTAAGAATGTCGCAGAGCATAAATTCGCTTGGCTATGTAACCCAGTGGCCGACTTCTCTTTGTCGGCAGTCGCGTTCCACCGCTCTATGAGGCCTTGGATTGCTCCGCTGCCAGTCGCCGAAACCCCTGACCCCTAAACGCAAGCCAGAAGAGCTTCCGTTTGCACAACAAGTCGCTCAAAATCTCTGTCTCGGTGACTATGGGCAGGCGCTCGAAGTTCAAGATTGTTTCCTGGGCAAGTTGCGATGCAGCTCTTGCTCTGCTGCTTGGGGGTGAGAGTTGCACGATACTCTTCAACATCATTGTGCCTTCAGCCTCGCAGCCAAGCAGCTACAAAGTAAACGGGCAAGGAACCTGAGCTACGCAATCCAGAAGAGGAAACGACAAGCGGAGGTGCCCTCACAGTCAAGGCGACAATGTGCAGACCCAGCAACACCATCGAGGGTCCCTCGTGACAGCCCGGAACTGTTCTCGGCTGGACACCATCTCGCTGGCTAGCCTCTGTTTCTCACAAGGTCCATTGAAGTCAAGTCTTGGTGCGTTCTCCTACGGCTCAGGCCCAATCAAGGACTCCCTATGGATCGATCGCATCAATGGCAGCTGCTCCACAGCTCCAGACAAGCGGCGTCGTGATGAGGACCTCGGTCGTGGAAGCTCCAAGCACAGCCCAGAACGAGGAAAATGCAGGAACTACAATCTGCCGTCTGGCATGAGCCCTGCACGTCCCTGGAGTGTTCCTCTGTAGCTCGGTGTTCATAGTGCTGCAGATGGTAGAACCTGATGTCTCAGCAGTGAATGGCGGAAAGTAGCTCAACTCACGAGCACGGCTGACGTGGTTAAAGCTTGAAGATGACTTTCGGGTGATTTCTGTTGGCACATGGGCAGAAAATATTGCAAGCCCTTCACGCTATTTAGCACCGGGGAATTCGAGAGCACTCCGTGACTGTCGTCTGATCCTGGAGCTTTGTTCGTCTTGCACGCCAAAGCCGCAGCTGTACAGGAAGCGACGAAAGTGAGAGATTGAAGGCTGAGGCCATAGCGCATCCGCAAAGTTGAGCTCACCGACCACAAAGAAACTCCTGGATGCCGAAGTCGAATGTGAGCAACTCGAACCAGGCTCTAAGTTCAGGGGCTCTCCTTCTGCCGAACCAGTTCAGCAAGTTTTCATACAGGGCATCCACCGAGAAGCGCTCAGCTTCAAAGCCTGGGGAATTGGCATACGAGTTGGGGTTTTCTGCCTGACTCTACTGAAGTTCGACGCGCGCACACAGGTGGCAAAGGCCTTGATTCTTCACAATGTGATTTGACCATAGCGAGCCATTAATTTTGGTATGTGCACGACCGCCGCCCGTGATTCACAACCACGGTCGGTGATGTGCTTGGTGTGGCGATTCTTCTTGCTCGTCGACTTGCAACTGTCGGGTTCGCCGCTGGTTGGGTATATGCAGTCTCTCAACTCGGGCAGTCCAGGCGAGGTTCTCAGCAGGTTGTGTACTCGTAGTCTAAATCTGAGGCTTCGGAGACAAAGGACTTGGAATCAGCATCAAACAGAAGAGTTGCGAAATTTCTGGCCGAGATACAGATAGCCAGCATCTTTTGAGTCAAGACCTCGTTGGCCTGCACAGACTCACCGCAAGGAAAGCATGCCCACATAGGTCGCAACATTCCGAGACTTGTGAGTCGGATTGTCTGTCCGCCTTGTCGTTGTCTGCCACCTCGTGGAAGAACGACATCTCACCTCAAGTCAAGCCAGTACATGACAAAGGGGTTCGATGATCATAGATCATGTCATGTTGTCATGCAATTCTCCCACGGAGCCCAATCATGCCGAGCACATGGCCACAATAGATGAAACGCAACAGCTCGGCCATGAGCTCCTCGTGCGAAAGCAACAATCCCAGGGTCAACATGAGGCCCAAACATGTCAACACATGCTCCAAGTAAGCTGACTTGGACCAAGTTGCACAGTCACACTGGATCTCATACCTTTCCTCATCGCCACTGCAGTGATGCATGGAATGTGTTGCAATGATGATCAGCATCTAAGCCCGAACCTAGCTCCGCAAGGATGTTTAGTTGCAAGCCAGGCCGCCGCCAGAAAAAAAGGGTCAGAACCTGGAAAGTTGCAACAGCTCGTGATCAAGGCCATTTCACTGGCTCTTTTACGTGCTGCGGCCTGGGCAAGGAAAGCAGCACAAACTACTGCACGAACTGTTGATCGCTGAGATGCGCTTGTTCGTGCCGATCGTGCCACCGATGAAATGCGCCGTCGAGAAGCCTGAGTCTGCCTACGATCATCTCATGCTCTGACCTGCGAAAGCTCGAGGAGACGCACAAGGGAAGGGACTACTTCTCGGAGGGCGACGGCTGCATGTCTTCGTTTGGGCAAGCGGCCAGGCTTCATGGCATCATCTCGCTTTCCAGCTATGGTGGCGGTGATTCCACCGGCTAAGACCTCGACGTCGGTGGTTTGAAGGCTCGTTGCAGTTTCGCGATCACTACAGTCCACAACTCCGGCGAAGGGACAGAAGTCTGCAGGGACGAGTGGCAGATCTGTCGATGGGCTGCGAGAACTGGATGGACTGCAAATCTTGCAGCAAGCGGTGATAGCCTAAGCTAAGCGCGCAATATGCGCAGTCGCCAAGGTGCCGTCACACACCAAACTTCACTTCTTTTCACGTCTGCGATTGGCATTGAAATCATTACCCCTTCATCTTCAAAAACCAGGCCAAGCTGTCTTGAGTGGGACGGCTTTCTGCGCCCAGCAGCTAATCTTTTACTTGCTTTCCGAGCCACCCATTTGCTTGAAGTACTCCTTTGGCGCCGGGATGTCATCGTGATCGGCGCTGCGGCTCATGAGCTTCCCAAACTGACCTAATCACAAACAGGATTGAGAAGGAACGCTTCAAACAGCACCCCAGCCCTGATCTCGGACTTCTCTGTGTTGTCTTGCATGTGTGTGCCTTGATGGTCTTCGCACAATTGCTTCCGAGCAGCGGATCTTTCCGCAAAAGCCACCAGAAGTGTCCAGGATACCTTCACACAAAATCAGCACGGCCAGCAACTCCGAATCGAGCCAACCGTCTGGCCAGGCTGCGTGTATGGCATCGAAACAAAGGACCATCCTGGCCAAAAGGATGCTTGCCCTGCCGCTATCAGTCGTCTCTATCACTTGCTCCAAAGATCATGGAAAGCTGTAAGGAGCCGCTTTCTGTGGGAACTGGAGACAGAGGACGGAGTCGGATCATCTGTCCCGCGATTTAGTTCGCTGCAAGCATGCGTAGAGGCAGACAGCCCGGTCTTTCAAAGCAGCCCGGTCCTTTATGTGGATGCCGAAGTCCCCACTGCTGGTCTCCTGAAAGATCCTGGGTTTCAAGCACTGGTGCCAAGTGCACAAGCGTCAGATGCGTCAGGAAACATTACCACAGGTTGCAGCCCAGCAACTCCCGAAATAGTCGCGATGAACCTTGGATCTGATGGAGGCCGGCCTGCCACGGAGACAAAACAAGCGTGTCATGAACGGCATGTTAAGTCAGAATTCACAACAAGCCAGGACATTTTCCAACTCTGCCGGGAGTTGAAGACCGAGCAAAGCAGCGCCTCCTTCCTCGCCATGTCGGCCAGCGCACTTGGCCGTCTGCCTTACCCCTTGAGGTGTAAACGGCCGCATAGCGAAGGTTCTGCGATCCCTTTTCGTCCTATCCTCTTACATCACCTAGCCTCTGATCGTCCCAAGAGCGTCAGCAAGAGTGGCTTTCCTACATTCTGTACCTTGAGGACATTGGTTGCGGTTGAGACTACGTAAGGACATAAGAAACTTGACGATGACGCCGCAAAAGCTTGCCTTCATGGGCTTGCAGCTCTCGTCGGTACGAATCCTGGTCTCGAGTCGCGGTGAATAGCTGCCAATCTAGAGAGATTAAGCTGCCAAACTCATCGTTGCCGTTTCCATTCCGAATCATCCCTCGTCTGAGTGTTTGGCTTGTACTGATCGTTCAGCACATCGATCGCATCCTGCCGACTTGCGTGGGGAGAACCATGGAAAACCCCGAGTTAGGCTGAACAGGTGACTCGGCTACATGGGCTGCACCTGGTGCATTTAATTTGCACCAACATCTTCAAAACACCGATCTTTTCTGCACCGCGTCAGCCACCATCCGCATAGCTTTGGAGAGCATCTGCGGTAGCCTTGCAGCGATGCGATATACAGGACATAATGCGTCTGCAAGCACAGCGCGGACGACAGGGCTTCAGGCTACAAGCCTTTAGGTACTTTAGGTATTGGTTTTGCCCCGCAAAAACCAGGTGGCTTGATGCCCGAAGTGGTTGCTACACGTTGCCTAGCCCGCACCCGGCACATGTGCGAGTTGTCAGCTCTTAACGAAAAGATTTCATGGGCCACAGGCCCTTCCATGCCGCCCGCTGTTGGTCATGCTTTTGGTTTTCAGCATCATTGCTATCACAACATGCCCTTCCCTTTCGTTTCATCACCGAGACCCCGCCAGGATTAACGACAATTCTGCATGCATCTGTGTGAGTATATGTCGGGTATGTATATCACTACAACTTGTATACGCAACGGAGACAAGCAATTGACAAACAGGCAGACAGGCAAACACACATACCTACTACGTGCCTACGTACATATATACATGCATGTGCATACGGACAGACAGACAAACGGACTTTCCTACGTACCCGTAGCATCCCGCAGCAATCATAATCATAATGACCATCACAATCATATTAGTCATCATGCTAGGGACCATGAGAATAACAGTGAGTCGTGCTAGGAACCATAACAATACCGGAACTGACAAGTAGTGTCAATAATGCTAGCTGCTAGTAAAGTAGCTGAGTAAAAAGGCCCTGAAGCCTCGCCCCGGGTGAGCAGCGCAAGGTCTCCGAGCAGAGCTCGGAGCTTCGGCCCACGCAGGCGGGCGAGGCCCTGCTGGGCTAAGAGCCTCTCAGCTTCGGAAGGGCTTGAGAAGTTGAGAAACTTGGGACAGCCTTGATGTTATAGGTCGGGAAACTCCGAAAGCAGAAAGAGTCTGAATTCCACTGGTCACTAGAGCCTCCGCTAGCTGGGATGACGGGAAGGACAAGGCTCTTCTTGGCTTTGCTGCTGTTTCGCTGCTTACCTCTGCAGCTGGCATGGGGGCCTGTCCGCAGGGGAAAGATGCACCAAGAAAGGTGCTCCAGCGGCAGCTGCAATGGTGGACATGTAGACCTGCTCGTGTCCTGGAGAGAGTCTCCAACAGACCGTTCGACATGTTGCTGACATGTAGCTGTTCTTTTCTGACGAGCAGCTCTCCGCCAAGGCTGAGAAAACCTTGAAGGTCTGCGTGTTCATGCTCCTGGGTGTCCGTTCATGCTGGAGGCTTGGTTCCCACTACCCTAATCTACACAGGCCGGTCCATGCCAAGCTGGCGTACAACAGCAATCGACTGTTCCAAGATGCCTTGGCCACGTGTGGAAGCTGGCAAATATAGCTTGTGCCAAGCTGGAGACGTCGCCTCGCCACAATTAGCTGTCTAGCTTGGCACACATTCCAGGAAGGATGTGTCATGAACTCATTTCCAGAATGCAGTGTCGCAGCCTTCGCCCAGCGAGAGAGCTCGCGACGTAAGCAGTCGCTGCAAGAAAACCAGCACAGGCTTCAGCACATCATGCCTGGCACAACAAACAGTGGTCACAGGTTACCCAGATTCGGCTTGTGCAACATGCATGCAGAAATACTCTAATCGCACCGCGATGCACGAGTCAACTGGTGGCTTGGACACTCGCGTCTGAGCAACTCTTCACGAGTTCGAGCCCAAAAGCAGCTCAAGCCACGACGGTACAGCCCCTACACCTTCAACAAACAAACCCGAAACATCCAGAACATCGAAGCCACGACCAGGCTCGAACATGCTTCCAGAAATCTGTTCTCAGCCTGCCTGAAGACTATGCTGACTATGCCCATGCCACGGAAATGATCAGTCGGGTGCACTCTGTAGAAGCCAATGCAGCCACCGAAAGTTGGGCCAGCGGCGGCACCTGTGAGACATGTGAGACATGACACATGTTGGGGCACTTCGCAGCGGGCGTCGCAGCGTGCTTCAAGCGGATGCTGCTCATCTTTCTCGGAAAACCGCATCGTGAAGCAGGAGCCCACAGCGCGTGGCCACCAATACGAGATGCCAGGGCATGGAACAGAGAGAACAGGGCACCGTGCTTGGGCACCCGAAGACGGCAGTGCGAAAGGTGTAAAGCCCCGAGCCACCTGTGGAGAGGCAAACAGCGCATCACCTGTTCAATCGATCCCATGACTGCAAGCTTGCTCCCTTCTGCCAATGTATGCTTGGCAAACACATGTCACGGCCTGCAGCAGCCGCCAGACAGGAGCAAAGATCAAGGAAAGGGATCAGGTCCTCCCAGGACTGGACCCAAGTTTCAAGCCCGGCGACTGCTGGGCACGCGCACGAGCGCTCCTCTGCAGCGCGGCCGTGCTGTACATGTGTCCTATCTGTTCCGAGGCCCATGCAGCATGGTGAGCGTGCGATGGCATGTGAGCTTCGGCAGACATGCAGCCAAAGCACAATGCCGCGCTGGAGATGACATCCTCAGACGACGGCACTAATTAATCTGAGGCTTTGCGGACCTTGTGCAGCCATGCAGGTTGTGCTTGCACACAAAATGGGAAGGCAAGACACCAAATGAGGCATCACGTGGCTGCGTGCCACGTCGGGATTGGCTGACAACGCTGCCATCGAAGACAGCGGAGCCAACTGCCCTTCCTTCAGACCAAGTGCTCCGAACTGGACACCTCCGGCTCCGTATGATTTCTGTACCCGGTCCCGGAGCCTTGCAACAGGCCACAGCCAATGACGCCAGTCCCTCTGCCAGGGCCGCCTCCCACGGTGCGGCGAACCAAACACATCCCTGCTTCACATGGACAACAAGGGCCCTGTCCATGCGGGTCTGGTTGCTTCAGTGCGAACAAAGCACCAGCAACTCCCCGGGCCCCTGCTCTCCATTTCGGCCTCGGGAACCTCTGCAGCTGCCATCGCAGCTCGACGTAGCAGTGCCAAGACGTTCACCTGCACGGCCACCTCGGGCAAAACGAAGCCGGAAACCGTGAGGTTTGCCGGGAGACACGTAGTCGCACAGCCTAGCAATGCACGATGGTCAGGATACTACTGCACCGAAAGTCAAGCAGTAGCAGCGAGGAGCTGCTGCAAGAGCAGTTGTGGAAATTGACTGAATCCAGCCAGCTACCGGGAAGCTTGCGCACGTCACATAAGGAACGAAGTCGTACTCAGTAACCTGGGCAAGGTGAACATGCAGCCGAGCTGCATCGGAGTACTCAAAGATGGGCTTTCCTTTTGCTGCATCTTTCGTAGCGGGTGCTGCCATCAGCAGGGTCTGGCACAAAGGTGCGGTAGATGCCCTCAGCGTCTGTGGCAGCAGCGGATTTGCAAGACCTTCTTCATCTCCGACCCACTGCGAAGGAAGAAACAGCTTTCAGGTCATGGTCATGTAGGGAAGCCAGATTCTAACCTCAGTGGATGCCAAGTGACCAGTGCAGAAGCAAGAATCCTGAGTCCAGCCCAAAATCACATATCAGCCCCGCTCTCAGTCTCCAGAGAGGCCAGACTGTCCTGCCCATTGTGCACACGTGCTAAAGCTCGCATGAGAGCTGCCAGGTTGCTGGCCAGACATCGTGATGCAGTCCTGGATGGAGATTACAGGATTCTCAGTGCAAGGATCTCTGCATGACTACGTGCACAAAACCAACATAAGGCGACTCGGCGATTCCATGCCAGCACAAGCAATCTATAAACTATAAAGTTCGTGGGCCTCGAGGCTTTCGGCGCACCAGCCGTGATTGGTGCTGTGCCAGCCTCCTCCGCGACCTGGAAACGAGACCGTATGGGCACCATCACTGCGCATGCCCCGTCGGCAGAACCTACGACAATCCAAGCTGTTGATGGTCGAGGCTCGCTCACACATCGCAGCAGGCGGCTGAGCACGCGATGGAAGCTCGCTCGGCCTGAAATGGCATGGGGGTGTCGCAATTTCAAGAAGCAAGCGATGAACTACCACAGCAGTAGTCTAAACTAATACCCGGGTACTCCCAGGGTGTCACACCGAGAAATGCTTGCTCAATCCAGAACCTCAGAGCAAAAGCGCCTGCTTCACTGGAAATGTCCAGTCCGCTTTTCAGTAGCATCCCAGCACCTCGTCTGACCAACAGCTCGTACGATACGCAAGCGAGCAGAGACTGTCCAGCCCTGGTTGCATCCCAGCTGCCATCACAAACGTTTGCAAACGCTAGGGCTGCTTGCTCATCTGGAAGGTCGCGCCTCGTGGCAAAATGTGATTCTGCTGCTGCACTTGCTGTCGAAACACCAGGAGGCATGCGGACCGAGGCACGTGATGCCAACCAATGCCCCATGAAGAGAAGCATCAACTTCGCTTGGGGCTGACTGTGCTACCTTGTGAACAGTCCAGGGCGGAACTGTGGAAGCATGAAGTCTCAGCCGAGAGGCCTGACAAACCACTTTCAGGAACTCCTCGAAGTGCGGCAGCAAAAGCTTGCCAGCATACCTGTTAAACGTGGAAAGCAAGCAGAATCATCAAAGATACACCCCAGTCAATTGAATACTATATGCGAGTAGTTGCTTGTCTGCTGATGCTGGTGGGTGTAATCTTTCGTGTTCACTATGGGTCTAAAATGTTGGCTAAATAGTGCTTGACACGTTGCCCGCAGAGCTCCTGAATCACCTCGCTGGCTTGCAGGGGGATCTGCGTCACGACGGACATAAGCCACTGTACAGCTGGTGCAAGGTGGGCCTCCGGTGACTCTCGGCTCGGTCTTAAGCGGTGCATTGTGGACATTTGTGGACCAGGCCGTTCGCACATGCTGCCACATGCTTTTGAACTCGAGGTCTAACGGGTAGGTCCGAGTTTGCATTGCAAACTCGCGAATTAAGTCAACATCGACAATGCCTGGAGTCGCTCCTCGAAGTGAGGGCCGCAGCCTTGAAGCTCGCAGGGGCTCACATTGGCTTCATGTGGGGGTTTCCTCAAATAGGGAACCCTAATTTAGTACTAGGATCCTTATTATCAGGACCTAAAACAAGGTACCCCTTAATTTCGGAAACTCCCATGTCTCTCCCTGGTCCCTTGGACTTGCAGGCCTCGAAGCAAGGCCGCCCCCGTGGAAAGAACTTCTGCAGGCGCAGAGGATACCTGGGCTTCATGAGCGGAGCCGATGCTGGCTCGCTGCAACAAGCCGCCAAGGCACGCTACCTATGTGACCTGCATCCATGGCATCTTGAACTGGCCTGAAAACTTCACTAGGCCACTATAGGCCCTACGAGGCACACGAATGCCTCTGCGGTGCTCTGAAAACGGTGGGCAGAACCTTGTTGTAGACATCCGGGATCGCTGGCTCATCTGCCAACACTTCGGAGATCCCTTTCGGCAACAAAAGGCAGCGTGAATGCTCCAAGGGTGTTTCGGCTGTTTGAGCCGCGCTTGGATGTTGCAAGATGGCCTTGGAACGCGTACCAAACCACCTCCATGCCGAGCAAGTCTGTCGCAGACTCAGACTTCTCGAGGCTGCTAAACCTGAGCTTCAACAAATGCTTGACCCGATCATGTTGGTCTTGTTCATGACCGGGTGCAGCTTCGAAACAGGCCATTGAGAACCAGCTGGGCTTCGGCAGTCCCCGCAGCGATGCAGTACCTTGTTCTCAGGCTGTAGAAATGTCGGGGCTTTTGAGCTATTGAGCCTGTGCAGGGAGCATCCCGCCATCAATGATTGGTCTTTGTGCTGCACCCTGGCAATAGTCTCCAAGCCCCTCACATGTCCACCAGGATGTCCTGCTGGGAGCTGCGAAGTTGCACAAGGTCGCTGCGGTCCTCCGCACATGCAAAGCATACCCAGCACTACACAGCTGTGCCTTGACCTTCGACTGCAGTTCATTGTCAAGTAAGCTGAGGAGAAGTCCTCTGTGTGAGGCGAGTCGAAACGTCCAAAACGAACGAAGGACAGGATAGACCTCAAGCTGCTCAATTTCAATTCTGCTCCTCTTGGTTTCGATCCCTGAACCTTTGAGTAAGGTTCCACGTGACTTATCGTCGCTACTGCAATGTTAGTCTTGCGCTCACCTCATCTCTTCCGTGCAATCGAGGCCTGCGAATCGCGCCGCACTATCTGTGTGCTCTGTGTCCATTGTAGTATTGTGCTCGCCCGTTTCTCAACCCGAGCCACGCTGCTGACCTGTAGGGCTTCATTCCAATACTTCGCCGTCCCAAACATTGTAGCTCTGGGCACCATCTGCTTGTCTGCTCCCAGGATACTGTACCAACTAGTGTGTATCCGTTGGTGTATGCGCACGTTTGTACAGACAATCAGATACACAATTACCCCATACAGAACAGAGAAGAAGATACCGTTATTGTACTAAATGGTTACTAACCTTCGTCGAACTCAAATGCAGGACCGCCCGAAAGCCCAAACCTCTTTGGGCCCGGTTGCGGCTCCACCAGGCGATGCAGGATCTTTGGCATCACCTGAGAGGCCAGGCCATGCGGACGAGACAGTCGAACCGCAAGGTTCATTGCAACTACTGCGGCTTGAAACAGGTACCTTATTTTGGGAATCCTTATAATAAGGATCCTACTATTTAGGGTACCTTATTTTGGGGATCCTTATAATAAGGCTCCTACTATTTAGGGTACCATATTGGGGTCCCCTACATTGAAACAGAAGCCTCAGCTCCCACAGCCGAAACATGCTGAAACCTTGGATCAACCCCACACCCTGCCTAAGGCCATGCTCTGAGCCTCGGAGCATTTTCTTGTGTGCTTGTGTCTATACAGCATAAAGTTTGTGATGCATGCATACAAACATATACACATATTCATGTGTAACCCACATTCGTAGTATGTATATATATATATATACACATACATATACATCTATACATACACATACACACATAATCGTATGATATACGCACGCACACACGGCACACAGAGACGATCACGTGCACATGCATCCGCAAACCTACATGAACTTTCAACATCGCAATACATCACCTATATGCTTCGCGTTGATGCCTCTGTCCCCTGTGCAGACATTTTGTTGAACTTGCTCAAACTCCCCCGACATCAAACCGTAAACCCAGCACAAACATCGCTGCGCAGTCAAGTCGCACCCTCTGGGAGCTTGCTGTCGCGCTGTGCATCCTCTGCAAGCTTTGGGCCGGCCGAGTTGCTTGGGTGCCAACAGTTCTCATCTCAGAAAACTACCAAACAGGAATGTACAAAGAAAGAACGCACACATGTAGTTCGTGTCCGGTGCTAGGTAGCAGGTCTTCACCACAACAGTTAAAGCACGGATGTAACCGTTGTGCATTCCCTCGTGTGCGTGCATGTGTGTTGATGTGTGTGTGTGTGTGTGTCCAACCTTGCTACTGAGGGCATGCTTGAGAAATTGAACAAGCAAGGGGATATCACCTGGGATGCCTGGTGACGTACCTGCATCAGAAATGGCAAGGGAGTGAATGCTGTATCCAGTGATCGAATCGAGCCGTGAGACCAGAACATAGAGCTTGGCTCTATCCGGGTTTACAAGGTTGGAGAGCGAGGATGAACACACAGGTGTGTGTGTGTGTGTGTGTGTCGGGGTGAGGCGGAGTGGGCTTGAAAGCTCCAGTGTCCTTCAGAATTGCCCAAAGCTCTGCCACGGCTTGTGCCACTTGTGGATGCACGACGAAGCAGGCCCCGATGAAGGCAAGCCTCAGTGCATCGCGCTCATAAGCCATAGGTCCATCGCGTCTGTTGCTTGAAGAGCTTCGTACTGTGGCGAGAACTGGTGATGCTATTGGCTAGCATTGGCTAACTCTGCCATGATATGCCGAGGCCATTGCGTTTCGGCTTGCAGTAACTAGTCTTGTATGAAGATGCTGGACGGGGCTTTTCAGTCTTCGGGCCTCAGAGAGCTATCAGCTTGGCATGTCTGATCCTGCCTTCAATAAACTTCGACACGATACACATCCAGCACGACCACAACTGCGACTGACTGCAACAAAGCCACAGCACCTCCGAAGATTCGGCATCAAGCCAAAGAAGCTGAGTGTATGCCTCCACCAGGGTTCCAGCCTGGTCTATGTTTCACAGAGTCGGCACCGTGGTCAAAATCCGGGGTGTAAAGCACTCTGCGGATCGCCTGCGCATCCTAATTGCACCGAAAGAAGTTTGGGGTTTCTGTGCGGGCAGATGTCAGCGTGAATGCGTCACAGTTGCTAGTTCGGCCCAGCGTTGAAGCAGCCGCCCTTCAGCCATGTCGAGCGAGACCTCTGGTCAGTCGGCCAGTACGGCCAAGACGACTTACAAACGTCCCGTCGCCTTGCTGCTCGAGCTCAGGGCATGCATGAAATCTAAGCTTTGCACCTGTTGCTGCGCCGCGCTCTGCAGTGTAGGCAGGAGAGCCTTCATCCTGATGCTGAGGCCCTTTGGCCCATGCCATGTCTGTTACTTGACCACCTCTCAGGGCCCCCCAATATGCTGCGCAGGCTCGCTCGAGAGACTGCACCGAGGAGGCCTGACAGCGAAGTTCAGTGCATCCTGAAAGAGAGACACAGAGAGAGAAGGAGAGATAGAGAGAGAGAGAGAGAGAGCTAGGGCCGCTAGGGCGAACTATTAGGGAGGGGAGGGAGCGTTCGACCACAGCTGGGCTACATGATTCGGGCAGTCGGCTGGTCTAGCAGGGGCAAGGCTGTTTTAGACATGTGCCTTCCAGTGCTGGCACGGGCGTCTGCACCTCGCTTTGGTGGTACAGAACCAATGGGACACATGCTGCCTTCCAACAGGGACGCTTCAAGCTTGCTGCCGAGTTTCTGGTTCGTATATGATGAAAGCACCTGGTGTTCTGCGAAGGACTTCCACTACCTGGGTGTCCATGTTGCTCGCGTGAGATGCATCCCTCGTTTTGCCCTCGCGTGGTTCGGTCACCATCAGCCACTGGAACGAAATAACTGTCAAAGCAAGCCACGGCATCCATCACGACTTCAAAGTTGCCCGCAGGACCACCTGTGTCGGCAAGAGGAAACAAGACATCGGAGAGCAGACATGACACGCCTCGCTCTGGTATGTTACAGCAGGCAGGACCAGAGCTCGCAATTGCAAACACGGCGATCTTTGCCCAAAACCACTCTCACTTCACCAGCCAGAAGCCCTGGCTGCTTGCAATATTCATCGCAAAAGATCAAGCTGTTGCTATGCTGCTGGGCGTAGCCTTGTAACAGTAGACTGTGGCTTGCTGGCCACTGTGAAGAAGACCCAGGGTAGCCCCAGGATGGAGTGCAGGGTGCGTGACGCCAGCAGGCAAGGCATGCTTACATTGAATGACCATCTCTCAAGTGCCAGTACACGCCTGACCTGTCCCTTTCTAAAAAGTGAAGCAGCAGTTCTGATTCCAATCTTCTCAGCCGAGGCTCTCAAAAGCCCGATGAGGTACTGGGCGAAGCCCTCGTGCTCCAGCAGCTGCAGCCCCATCACCTCCGCATCACAAGGAACGGAAGGCTTGCCCAGCAAAGCTCCGCTTTCCTGCCTTGGACCACTGTGTCAAAGTCTGCAGCGCCAACCTTACACACCCCGGATCCGACCCTAGACTACTAATACTAAACAGCTGTCCAGAGATGTATCCAAACCAAGGCGGACTGCGAAAAGTCTGGATCTCCAAGCGTCCCTGTCGGAGCCTCACCAAGGCTGCACATGGGCTTCGACTCCGAAGAGGGCAACCGCTGCCTCGTCCGACGTTGGCTGATATCTCACTGCCATGTCGAGCATCCCCTGGGCGTGGTGTAACAGGGCCAGTGTCCGTGCCTCGGAGGCACGATCTCAAAACGCAAACTGCCTCACCCGCTTCTCAAGTAAAGTCTAAAGCCGAGGTGCATCCGCCTTCAGATACTTGTGTACAACCTCGCATGGCGGCTAATTCACGTGGTGCTCTCAAGCCGACGAGTCGGGGCCTCTGAGAGCTGCTCGGGAATGATGACCTCAGGGCTGCCGGTTATATTATATGATATTCTATCATGAATTATGGTATTATATTGTATTATATTACATTACTTGCGTGCTGCGAACAGCCATGCTTCGGTCTGCGAGGCAGTGCCAGGCAGTAGGGCCCGAGCCAGGGTGCCCCAGGCGATCTTCGGCTGCCGCTCGGCCAGAGCGAGAAGATCCGCCACCCCAGTCTTCCTTCGAGCTCTTAGTAACTCGGGATCGATGCTTTATCTTTCCGGCTGATTTACTCTTCACACACACGCCATGATGCTATGGCTTTCACGTCGCACGCTGCATTGCATCGCGATTTCCCACAGGGACTTAGACTTAAGCTTCAGTCAAGGATCCAAGTTGTGCTGCAAAGAGCGACAACGACTGCGGCCAGTGCCACAACCTTCCAAATCCGAACTGCAGAGTGTGCAGGAGCACATTCATTGCAGGATCAAGGCTTTTACTTCCTGCCGGGTGCCGATGCTGCTCACACATATCGGGGCAGAGTGTGGCTTTAGATTCAGACATCGAAACATGTCACGTCTTCTGATTGGGTTGCAAGCCGCGAGTTGCTGCTTCGAGGGCTTCGTGGCATCCGTCTCGAGGTGCTTCAGCAGCACAGGCACCCAGTCCTACTCAAGTTGAGAGGAGAATTTTAGGGTGTTTTCCGATGCTCTTTACAGCTCAGTCGGAAAGTGGCACCCTTTCCACGGTCCTTTAAGTCGCCTGCTGCAGGCTCCGGATAGCCCTGTGCGGCCCGCTGCACGCGTCCTCTTCTGAAGCATTTATGAACCCGAGAGATAGAGATCGGGCCGCTAACAACAGCATGAGATGAACATGAAAGCCTAACTTGGACGGCAACAATACGAGACCATTCAAAATTGGCTGCAAGGACCTGGAAGGACTAAATTCAGCGGAGGCTCGGCACAGAGTTTGAGCGCCAAAGAACTGCCTAGAATGCAGCAGCAACAGATGGGCTTCCAGCCGTACAGTACCGGTGCTTTGATGACTCTCGGCACACATGCCTTCATCGAAATTTCCAAAATGCAGGCCAAAGAGCACATTTGGGTCAGCGTCGCTAAGCAGCCTAAAGTAAGAGTGAAATCATGCATCTGAGAAAAACTTGCGAGTGCCCCTCAGTTCGTACCGACTGACAGAGTTCCTTGTTGTCCAGGCATCCACTTCCGGCCACTTGAAAGCCCCAAAGCCCCAAATTCGTCGTCGGGCAGCTCGCGGCTCACGGCCCAAGCTGCATCCTGCTCTGCAAAGCCGCGCAGTGCCGCGTCGGCGCTCTGCCGCGCAGCCTGAAATGCGCACCCCGGGCTCGTGAACCCACAATCCGAACTGCAAGCAGGGAGTGGAACACAAAGGCAAGAATCAGCAACTCGTGGACCTACTCCCAGATGGATGTTATCCTCCCAGCCTTTCATCGGAAGCACCATGCCATGCGAGTGACCGCCCTTCTTTTAAAATCTTTTGGATGATGTCGCTTCCAACTTCTGGTGGTGCTTCAAACATCCGCGAATCAACAAATGCTCACGTAGCATCTCTTGCGAACCAAGAGGCTGCATCATGGGAATGATGGAGCTCAAGGATCTTTGCACGGACCGCCGCAGACATGACATCTGGCCGATTTGCTGTCTGCACATTGACTAGGTGAGCTGCTGGGTTAAGGGTCGTCTTGTTTTCGTAGCGGATTTGGGATGATTCGGGGTCTGTTGGCTGATCCAACACGCGGCGAGACAGCCACTGATGGAGGCAACTGTAACCCGGTGGGCCCAGCTTTTCTGGGCATATCAGGACTCAGGACTATTGAATAGGCAGCTGCGTGGCAGTTTGATGCAGTTTGCACGTAAGGAGATCGGTCTGTGTCATGGAGCTAGCTGGCATATCCACTACCAACTTGGAGCTTGAACCGCTGCCTTGCCATCAGAGTTGTCAGTGCCCAGAGCTGGATGCTCTAACCGAGGTGTTATGCGCGCAGCAGGCACGCAAACCCTGCGGGTGGGGGCCCGGGCACGCAGCCTTCACCATTTGGACTGTCGTTTTCGGGGCCAACTAGACTCAAACAGAGTCTGAGATGCCGGAACAGTGTAGGTCCTCGCAAGGCTCCTTTTCAAAGTAGGTGACCCACGCGATGGAATCAGGGTTGCCAGAGCTCTGGTTGCCTTGGATGGTGAGCCAGGCACGCCCAATCGGTTGAGCCGCCGATGCCATGATCCGCTCAGTTCGCTGAGGTCGGCACCCTTCCCTTTTCCTGGTGTGGAAGAGCACAGAACGAACGCTCAAAAATCACATCCACTTGCACCAGCTGTCTGACATAAATCGGCGCTCAATGTTGTTTCTAAATTCTAAACATGCCGGGAGCCACGATCTTCTGCTCTCAAGATTCGAATGTCTCGGCAGGAGCAGGAATGCGCCCGATTTACTACTGGCACAGGCTGCCTCGTAGGTCTTGGAATGACATCTGCTGCCACATGAGCTGCATCTTAACGAAGTTGCAAACTAGATTCTCAAAATATGCCTATGGCCTATGGTGGTGGTTACTTGTAGAACATGCACTTTCGGATCTAGCTGCCCCTGCATCGCCTGGACGTGCGTCTGATTCCCTTTCCCGAGAGCCGAACTCTTCACATCGCCGTAGCTTTGAAAGACATACTTCAGCTCCTTGTTGTATGACAATGTGAGTCACGGGGAGGGCTTCCGTGCGTTGTCCCCGGAAAGCACAGCAGAACCAAGGACCCTAAGGCGAACTGGCCCTCTGGACACAGGTTGGGATTGCATTCGCCTCAAACCGGAGTACTGGCAAATCACACCAAGTAATAAGGTGAACGCTGCTCTTGCTTGATGGCTCCCATTGCAGATCTCCGAGCTAAGCAATGAAAGCAAGTGGTACCGCACCCAGTCCTCCTCGGAGATGTCAGCGGGGAGGCCTTAAATTGAGGGTGCTGCAGGGCCATTCATGCTAAACTCATAGAACCGTTTCAGACCGGGTCAGTGAGCACCAAATGCCGCAGGCATCCAATTCTGCCGAGATGCTGCCAACAAAAACTTGGAAGCCCGCACCATCAGACATGGCACGGCCTGACTTCGACACAGCCGAAACTCAGAACGAAGTCAGTCTTGCCCAGCCCTGCCTCGTTCAGCAGGTGGGCTCTGCACAGGAGCCAAACATCTGCAGAGTGAACAAATACATACAGAGTCATGTGCTCGAAGAAAAGCAGCACAACGGCCTCACTCACTGATTCGGCCTAAACTTGCAACAAGCCCATATTGAGGAACGGCTCGTGCCGCTTCCGAAGATAGTCATTTTCTGCCACGAAATGAAGTGGCTGCGGTCGAAGCTTTCCGTGGCAAATCATCATGATGTACATAATCCTGATAGTTAGTGATAGATCATGCCCATCTAGACTCTATGGCGGCTGGACGAACCAACGAGCAAGGCATGGCGTGATTTGCAGGTGAGGGTTTCATCAAGCCAGCATCCCAATGAAGGCTTGCCTGGCTGACGAACCGAATATGCGCACTTGGCGATCGAATTGGAAAGCGTGCCCCAGCTGTTTCTTGCAAGCTTGGGCAGAAAATTTGAGATGCCACAGCCTACTTTAAAGCACGGTCACCACAACCTTCTTGCTACATGAAGAGCAGTGTGACCCCCTGCGTCGTCGCTACTGAAGGGTGGTGAACCTACCAGGCTTTCTGCGTTGCCTGCAGCTTCTCAGGAAAGTGCTGCTCACAGGCACTGTGAACTGCGGAAAACGAAGCCAACATGTTGTTGGCCTCTCTACGCGGCCTTGTAAAGCATATCACTGTGCAAGCCGTCTGCACGGCAATTTAAAACCTACTGAAGTTCGCTGGGGAACTCCTGCAGCTGCTCAGCTGCACTTTGCCAATCAACGCCGATCACCCTGCTCCCGCCAAAAACCGCTTTGCTGGAATGTCTCTGACTCGACGCGTTGAAAGCTGAAAGCCACAATCTTGCATCGGCGGCGGCTCGCGAAGCTTTCAACAGCATCCTTAGAGTGGGAAAGATGGCGCGCGTCGTCCACCTGGCAATGGATCAAACGCAGCATCAGCACATGGACTGGGAACAACCCCGAAACCTTGCAGATCCTGGCTGAAATCACATGCCGAGGAAGCAGCTGCGCAAGAAGTTGCCCTTGAGGGGTCCAGCTTTGACCTGTCAGAGTTTGTGTGGCACTCCGCCATCTCCCGCCCATTACATTGGCATCCCTGCGTGTGGATGCTGCTCAGGTCTGCAACTGGGGATTTTGCAAGCAAAGCATATGAAGCCACAGCCGTAGCAGCAGCACACTCGCTTCGCTTCTTTGACCCACACTGCTCCTTGAAGGCAGGTTTCAGCTGCAGTGAGGGAGACTCTGCAGCTTCTGCTGACTTTGCTTTGCCAGCGTCTGCGGATGCTGCTCTGTTTCTACAAACATTCACCGGGGATTGTCATCAGCCACCCATAGCCACTTCAGCTCTTTGAGAATTTCGAGGTCCAGCAGCGCCAGATCAACAAAGGCACGAGCCAGACTCGAAAAAGAAAGTCGTAAAGTGGCAAGATGTCTGAAGCATTTCGCCATTCTGTCGTGGAAGTTATGCTCGACTCCATCAAATCTTGCATCCATCCGGTGCAATCCCTCCCACACTCCCTGGTCCAACTATCGGCGCGGTTCGGCCTGGCCAGCCGAACAAACTGCGTGAGTATGTGCTCGTGCAGTGACGATGCCACTCGTTTTGAACCTCAACCTTCCAAGCAGTTCAACAACCAGACCAACCCTTGGCGCCCGAAACCTGCAGTCTACGATACGTTTTTTGCTGAAACGGTGCTATTTCATGCCAAACCAGTCTGGTGTGTTCTTCCTGGTGGGAACTCCACGAAATGAAAATCGATGGTTGACGGTCGTCTCCATCGGTGTTCTCGCATGTCGTAAGATCATTCCAAAGCCAGGCATGCACTGCTTCATGCTCGGTCGTGCTTGCACATTTCCCGCTCCTTCGAACCGCGTGTGTCAGAGTGTTCCGCCTTTTCTGCGGGAATCTCGCTAGCTCTTGTAATTCTCCCTCATCAAGTGCCTTGCAAAATCATGCTCCTGCTCTCTCCCATTATGGTCCCTGTTCGGTAGTCTGTACCCAAACATCCTCTATGAAACATTGCTGCAATCTCTTGACGTCCAGCCGTGCACTGCCAAAGACCTCAAGACCTGCACCGGTGGTGGTGTGGTGACGACAAAACTGACACGAAGCGCCTACCAGGTAAACCGCTCGGCTGCGATTCGCCAAACATGGAACATTGGGAGCTGGTTTGCGCAACAACAAGAGACTGGCTCCCGCAGAAGCTTGACAATCCCCTGAGAATGACTCGAATAGTTTCCTTCACAGGTCGACGGAGCCCCTCCCCTCGGTACTGCCCAAGCCCAAGTTTACAACTTCTGCCTCTCGCGGCTGGGGATCCAAGTTCATCACCTGTGAGCAGAAGCAGGCTGGTGCATCGGCAGCAGGCCCACGGCCCACAGCGCTCCAGAGTGAGAAGAACAGCTTCGAAGCCGCACAACGTTCGTGCCATGCGATCATTTTTGAGTACATACCTATGTACATACGACGTGGGTACGTACGTCCATGCGCATGCAGATGTGTTATTTCGCACCCACGCATATCTGCAGGTATGTATGCACGCTTAATGTATGCATACAGCGCATCAATAGATGGAGGGCAGGTCTGGGAAGCAAACAATCATTGCGGTCAAAAAGTGACTTGTAGTGAGGCCGAGGTTGCCCATGGATACGCGGAGGCTCAGCTTGAAGTCGGAAACAGCTCTTTCTAAGAAGCGACGAGCTAACAGGTTACAGTAAATGGCATCTTCGGAGCCCGCCTGTTCCAGTGTCTGACGCCTGAGACTTCAGGGCTTCCATCACTGAAAGTGAGTGGACATTTAGCGGCCCGTCGTCTGCATCTGCCGATATTGGCGGTATACGACCCTTTTACACCTGGACTATACACAAAACCCTAAACCCTACAACATGGCAAAATGCTGCAACCAACAGAGCGCCTTTCTCTACCGCAAAGGCTTGAGCGCCCGACCTCACGAAGTCACGATTGGGGTCCTTGACTCTGTTTTCCAACCTCAGTGCAACTAATGTAGGGGCCTTAGTAATTAGAATAGGGCTTCAGGGTATATTACACTATATAGTTATAGGTAATTATTAAGGCCCCTATATTCCCCATATTGTCCTGGAGCATAAATGACAGCCAGTGCCGTGACGCCACTTCAGCGCTCTCTTCTTTCTCTTGGCTCTTCTCCCCGTCTCTTCCAGAACTAAGAGGGAAACAGCCATGCAATCTCGCCCTCCACATCGCCTCAGCTACCCAATGCCCCACAAATTTGACAGCTTCAGGCATGATCTGGCGGACCCTGCTACAAAATGAGGCAATTCCTTGACAGGACGTGGGAGCTGAAAGATAGACCAAATAACAGCTACTCTGATACAAGCCTGGAGTGCATGAGCCAACGTGAGCATGTGACCTGCATGGCTGCACCGGGTGTACTACGTACAACTTTTGGCGAGGCACCTTTTAATTTGGCGTAGATCTCCTCGCATGCATCCTCGCCAACTGCTGATTGCAACGTCTCAAAGGTTTGCGTGTTGAATAGGGCAACCTTCCTTGTCTTTCGGGTCGACATCTGCGAGGTCGACCGGCTTGCCGAAGCTGAAATAAAAGCCTGGCAGCACTTCAAGCTTCAAGCGGGAGCTGCACGTCTTGTACTGGTGGACAGCAAGCGATTTAAATAGCAAGGGTCAAAGTCAAGCAAAGAAATCGACCGTCCAGTAGAACTGGGCCACCGGCGGTCTCCAAAGCCAGATGTAGTTTGGGACGCCTTAGCTTGCTCTGGTCTAGCGGGAACCACGACGGCGGAGCTGCATGTTGCTGCCAGCAAAACACACAAACAGATCTTGTGCACACTCATTTTGAGGCTGCCGCTGGTGGTAGACGTGGGACTGGGGCAGAGAAGCTGGGTGGCTCTGCAAGTGCTTCGGACACGGAGGACATGCCACCACCTCCAGGTACACGATCGCGTGTGCTAATATGGCTTTACACGGCCTTAGCATTTCACGATCCATCCAGGCCTCCTGACAGCATCTTCTTCCAGCCCTCGCGATCTTTCTCGGACATCTGCAGCCGGTGCGAAGTTTTCGTACAAGTCTGGCTATTTCGCGGTTGCCTCTTCTACGAGACTGTTGGCAGCAGCTGTTGGGGATATTCCTCGAAACCTGAAACCTTGCGCTGAGCCATCAAGATAGCAGCTGTCTAGCTTCTTCCCTTCAGCCTTCAAGGCCCTGCACCCGGGGCTGAGGATGCAGGGCTGGAATGCATGTCTTTGTAAAGGTATGTCATGGTATGTCGCAGACTTGAACACGGCCTTGGTTTGACCTACCCCTCGACCCTCCACAGCCGTCACCCTAACTATAATGAAGTCGCTGTGCAGTTTGGAGCAGCCGAGTGAGAACGATCGCATTGAAAACTCGTCGGCCGAATTCCACGTGAGCGAAAGCTGCTGCCACTTCTGCAGTCGAACGTATGCAAGCAATTCCGTAAAGTTCTTGCCCTGACAAGATTCTACTAGCCTGCGAACAGCTTTCGCAAGGTCTTTTGGAATTCCACGAAACGATAAGTTGGTCGGCACATTGACAAACGAAGCACGCAATTGAAAGGAGGCGCTGGCAATGTTTGTCCTGATAAGCTGCCTGGCTTGCTCCAGTCAGGGCCGTGCCCCATCAGTCTGCTGCCAGGAAAGTGTAGTCAAGCCGACGACACACATGATATCGACTCACTGGTCAGGGTAGGGGCCCTGGAACCGAACATGTTTAAATCTTCGGATTCGGCGCCGGTGCTTTACAGTACAAGTACTTCATTGTCTTGAAGCAAAAGTATCGAAGTTGTCGCAAGAGGAAATATGTGCAAACCACATCCCTCTGGCTTTTTCTGTGACAATTTCGAAGTCTCTGATTCAGTAGTCCGGTCTTCACGGAATTCGAAGACAGAGCTATAAACGTGATCAAGGCAACCTCAATGAATGCAACAAGGTGTCGCTGTCTGCTTTGTCGCTACTAGTTACTACTAGATTTTGCAAAACAGGTACTTCAGCTCGCTGTATGTGAGCGTGTGTCTTCCTCTGCTGATGCAATCCATCGCACAAGCAGTGAAGCACGTCGTGGCACGCTGAGCCTCGCTGCGTTCATTCACCCGCACCTGAGTCTCCAAGGGTGCCAGTCTGTGGCCGCGAACTGTTTGCATAGAGTGATCTCGAAGTCGAGTGAAGGCAGGCTTCATCCCGAAGATGTGGGGCAGCAGAACTCCAAACTCTGCAGAACCAAAGTGCCGAGGCGCATTGTCCGCACTGCCCACTCCTCCGAAGGGTATGATGATCGCATTGAACCTGGCTGCAGCACGCCTCAGCCGTGCATCAACTGCAGGCAGGGTTTGCTTCAGAAGAATGCGAGGTGTGAGGGAGATGGGCACCACAAGGGTGTCTCTGTGTGTGTGTGTGCGCGTGTGCGTGCGCCCGTCTTTCTGCAAATCTGTGCACGCAACGTGGTGTTGCGCGCAACGTGGGCTTTCCTGGCATCTATCTGTCTGCCTTGCAAGCGGCGATCGCTATAGTCTATAGTCAGTATACTGAGGATGCAGCACGAAGTCAGTCTGGGAGGGCCAGAACAGCTGGTACCTCGCTAATCAAACACACTGCATGTCGTCCGAAGAAGTGTCGAAGAACTCCCCAGACCCTCAGAGACTTGAGTTACTCTTATTATCGTTTTGCAAGGACTCCAAAGTTATCTTTAAACTTGTAACGATTGACAAGATAAGCGACCTTGTCAAGTTAGGGAAGAGCAAGCTCTTGAACCCGATGACCTTGTTTTTCTTCTTGTTGTTTATCATCCCTCACGTAACACATCGAACTGATGCCAGTGGCTGCCTCCTGTAACCCCCTCGCCTATTCTTACTCCTTCTTGCCCAAGTCAACATGCAGGCCCTGTGGATCGGAGTCCCTTCATTTCAGGAGTGAAACCAAGGTTTGGGGACTGGTCATAAAAACAACGGGGCACTTCTCCGTAGGACCGTGACACGCTTCACGGGCGCCGCCAGGGAATAGGAGGACGGCCTGCGTGGACGAAGAGTACGACAGCGAGCAGGACAAAGTGATTGTGTTGCCACCGGTTTTGGAAAGAGATGAGACTCAGCAGCTTGTGCGACCCTGACATGTGACGTGGTGCTGCTGCATGCTGCGGCTGGCGGGCTACAGCCTAAGACATCATCGCCTCAACAAGCCGTCGTAGATTCTAAGCTCGATCTTGACTGCTGCGTTTCAGATCACCGGAATTGCTCTTTCTGGTCGCTCGCACAGAGCTTCGCCATCTTTCACCACCGTCGTGAGACGAGAGCCGAAGCCAGATGGCCAAAAAGTCCCGGAGACGCGGCATCATCTCCTGCCGGCTCTAGTGGCTAACGGTCACATCCTTCGGATAGGACCTGAGACGATTTGTCTATCGGGCGATAGATGCATGCCACAAATGCGAGCTGAGCGAAGGAATGACACCCCACCCTTCATCATCAGCCCTTGTTCGCCCTGTGTGCCGGGTGCTAAGGCTGCCACGAGTCAGACAAAACACCACCTCAGACTTCCGGGAGCCATCTTTGTGTGGAGCCGACACCTACTGTCTGCATGCAAGAGGCACATGCCACAGACTGGGACGGTGCTCGGGCCACCATCACAGCCGGTCCCCTGCTGTGGATCCTACAGCGTGGAAGCAACGCCAGCAAGCCGAAATGTGATTATGCCCATTTACATCCGCAAACCTATGATAAAGGAACCACGACGACCAGGAGACCAGCAGGAGACCACATGGAACATCAGGACACTGCGCCCAAACTGTTTTCCCCCGTCTGCTGGAGGTATTCAGGAGCACGGCCAAAATCTTTGCCCCAAGTGCTGGCGGGACTCAGGAGGAAGACGCTTATTATGCTTCCCCTCATATGGCCGGATTCATTTAACGCCGTACTGGGAAATTGAATTCTTTCGAAGTCAAAGGCTGGCCCAGATATTGGAATTTACAAAGAATCTGGCTTTCGGTGGGGTTATGCCCAACGGATCTTGTTTCAACAACGGGACGTGAGCACAAAGTATGCAACGTGTCACCGCGGGGGCTGGAACATTTTCCGTGGCGCGCCGCGCGGGCACATTAACCTGTTCCTATTCTCTTTACTACAGTTCTGATGCCAAATGGTCAAGATGGGCCATCTGCCGAACAGGCTAACCACTTCCAGTTCATGCTGTTCGTGAGCATGCAGCGCCGCCGGTCAAAAACATGTTGCTTGCGCATCCATGGGTCCGAGTCAAACCCACAATAGCCGTCGTCCCATTTGCCGTCGTCCGCGGCGTGACGCCTGGCAGCAGGTTTCCATTTTAGGCAGCTGATGTAAAATGAGCCCTGGGAGCACTGGCTGCCAAGAAGCTGGAGCCGGACGAAGCCCTTCTCGCCCCACTCGGGGCCTCTTGCAAGAAGCTCTTGCGACGCAAGCTTGGAGGGCATCTTCAGACATATCCTGCACACATCATACTGTTGCTGCAGCCGCGACGCCCCACGAGTTCCGAATCAGCCAGTAGGTAAGTCCTCAGCGTGGAGTGTTTGCAGGTAAACGTGCAAATCATGCTGTGGACAGGAAATGCAAGGCTTGCTGGCAAAATCCATGCTGCAGTAGCCGACTGTACACTTCGTCTGTGTGCTAACTCGCTGAATTGACATGCAGCGTGGCATGCATGCACTCATCAGCCAAGATTCCGGACTTGGAGTCCCGGCCGTAGCCGACGGCAAGCACAGCCTCACTCAAGGCTGCAAGATTGGGACATCAAAGACTGCATGCTGCAGCTGCAGAGCAGAACAACAGCTGACTGTCTGCCCTGAGTCGAGAACATGATTGACCTCAGCTGCGAAGTTACACCCAGCAATCTGTGCATGCGGATCTATCAGCTTGTTGCAAGTGGCAGGACAATTACAAAATGATGACAGAGAGGGAAATGGATCGAAGCTGAAGTAGTCGCCGGTTCGATATAGGCTCAAGTCAAAGAAGGGGGGATTTGCATTTTCTTACCACAGCTGATGTGCAGATGCCCATGAAACTCGAGCAACTGAATTGCCTCGGCAACTCGAATCCACCACCCACTGCAGGAGAGAGGCGATACTATCTCTCTTGCAGTCGTTGAAGATGCCACCTTGCCGAGAGCCACGCTGTTGGGTTGTCTCAGGCAGTGCCGGCAGAACAACTTCCCACAACCGTTCCTTTTGAAGCCAAGGCACCTCCATACCTGGAACAGGTGCCAAGCTTGGTAACAAACATCTACCCCTCCTGCCGAACTGCGGAGGGTGCCGGTTCCTCTGTGAGCAGCTGTACTGTTTGCATGCTACAGACGGTTGCCTCAAGTCACGATTCGGTTCAACTGCCGCAGGTGCTACCATACGGCAGCATGGTGCGGGCCTAGGGAGCCTTAAGTCACATCGCCACGTCGAACACTGCGACGCTTGAAACGGCGAAAGCATGAGAGAAGTCTCCCTGAATTGGCGGCGGAAGTCATCCAAGTTTCGATATGAAAAAACCCAGTGCCCAGTGTGACGCCACATGAACAAGCACGCAGGGTGTTATCACAGTTGTCTAGTTTGTGGTTGACAACAGAGTTCCCCGCTGTGATGCTGTGTTGATGCGACTTTAGGCTGTGTGCTGGACTTATGCATGCCCAAGGGGCACTTTGTTGATAGGCCATTCTCATACAAGGCCTGCCTGCCCTCAATGCTAGCCATGTGGCAGGTTCCAGGAACTCGCGTCCACAGACACGGAAACCGGCCCCACATTGGCCTCGACATGTGCTGCCAGCTGCGCAGGAGAACATGGACGAAAGCTCTGAACATGAACCTGTAGGGTTGCAGGGAGTTGTTCTGGTAAGTTTTGCTGACTCGCCACCTCACATACATCGGCCGTTGCTACTCGGTGCGATCGAGACACAAGCGCTTCCATCAAAGGCTTGAGCTTGTTGGTTTCCAGCCGAATATAGCCTTGACATTTCTGGTTGCCGAGGTTTCATACAACATTTCGCTCACAAACAAAGTTCAGGGGTACTGGTCGTCGCCGTCATAGCTATAATGACTATAATGATAACCACGATTGCTTGTAGCAACACCAATTACCGTGATTTGTCACAATCGCCACCAGCCATCAGAATCACAAGACTGACAGCAAGCTCGACTCGTCTTGGCTTGTTAGAATTGGACTAATGGTGGCAACTGGGCAGCCGCGGATCTGGATGTACGGGGACGACCTTGGTGACGAGGGGTACTCGGTCCCGTGCTTCTTCCTGCTTTTTCACTTTCACTTGTAAGCATACGGTAGGGCACAGTAAGCCAGAAGCAGCACCCTGTTCGGGTGCTGACCGTATGTGCAGCAGGACATGCGGAAGCTGAGCCTCGGACTTCTTCGACGCTGCTTTGCACGCTTCGTCTTCTTGGTCGCAGGTCACATGGTCGCAGCCACACCGAACCGAGCCGACGGAGAAACTAAACGGGCAAATCTGCGCTAAGCAGCTGTTGATGTTTCCAGCATAATGGTCAGCATCATAGATGCCATGCCTCAGAGGCAGTGGTGGACGTGCGTGGCTCTTCAAACATGACCATTCGGTGCCAAATCGCAGACAAACCTATCTCACCCCTTGCTTTTTGGATGCTAAGCTCACTTAAACCCTTCGATGTGTCCGGGAATAGATTATACCAAGCTTGGCATTTTACTAGAATCACTAGAAATTCTAAGAACATACCTTTTCAGGGCTTGCCCAGCCGCTGTGATGTGTAGTCGAAAGCCAGCTCGGAGGTAGCACCCTGGCGGGCAGTCTCGCTTGCAAACTAGATATCTCGATACACATCTGTTTCTATTTGCTCAGTGAGTCTGTTCTAGTTCGCGGCAAGGAGCTGAGATGAGCTGAGAGCTTTAAGAGGAAATCAGATGCCCAGAGCTGCTGAAAATTTGACAGGGACATGTCCAACTGATCAAACGCGAGTGCGCCGAGATCGAGTTGACCTGACAATGGTGCATGGGTGCTGTCGCGACGCAAGGGATGCGCCTGGCAGCCTCCCTCGCCACCACAATGCTCTGGATTTGGGGTGCAGTCCTTGCAAGGACCAGGACGTCTCGGCAGTCGCTCGCTGTGCTGCTTCGACATGAGAACTTCGGAGCTAAATTGCTCTTGCCGCGGATGGCTTTCAACTCTTCGGCTCGAGGAATACGGCAATAAGATTGACATCACAGCCGGCTGACTGTGTCTTGGCCATCTGAGCCCAGCGCGACAAGCTGCTTGAACGACACATTTCGAGGCACCTGCTGCTCGAATGCGTGGAGTAGAAACGTCTGAAACATGTCTCCGCAGTTCGGGACACGAGAACCGTTGCTGGCGCGTGCCATGGGCCGGTGACTGTCGAACTGTGTGTGTGTGTGTGCATGGCTGGGTGTTTGGTGCAACTCAAAGTTGTGTAACTCCACATTGACATCTTTCCCTGTCTGAGCTCACAACGTGTCTCTACTCAATGCTTTGTGTGTGCGCCTCTCCGTGTCTTTGTGCATGCGTGGGTTGTGCGCGGGTACGTGTGCGAATTTATGTGTCGGTACTTGCTTTGTTTGCGAGTGCAGTCACTGTCATGTTGTCATGTACTGGTAGCACTTACCGGACAACTGAGGCTAGCTGGTGCCGTGCAATCTGGACTTAGCTTATATTATATATACTCAGCACTTGCGAAAACATTGCTGTAGTATGGCTGTCTCAACACATAGTCTCCCACCCGCGTGCAGGCGGATCGATGACGCCGCGCCTTGTCGCGATGCTGCTGGTTCTGCTTCCTGCACACATCGGCAGGGAGACTTGTACTTGCCGTCAACACATGCAACTACAGTGGGTCTTGAATGATGAAAGGGCCCAGACATGATAGTACTAGGTGGCTCGTGACTCGAACCTGGGACATATTGCAAAGGAAGGGTTGGCCAGGCTGGCCATTGCAATACCTGCATTGCAAGACCAGCCAGTCCTCAAGGCAATCTCAGCATGGATCTCCTGAGCTGTCGGTAAGTTTCGGGAATTCAAACAGCGGAGTTCAAAACCACGAGGCCGTCGAAACCAGGGTTTCACGCATTCGCTCCAATCTCAGGCACCAGCTACACGCGCTATTTCAGCAAAAAGGGTGCTGAATCATTGTCGGCAACCGTATCATGCCCGTATCTGCAATCTCGGCGTCCATCGCGCCCGCAGCTGCCACTGCCCAGCAGGATCCGCAAGAGCCCTCACCGGCCACTGAGGTTCAGCTTGAGTCGTGGGCTCCAAAACCTAGAGGTTCTTGGGATGCCTTGGGGGTGTTGTCGTCGGAAGCAGTTAACACAATCAGACTCACCCGCTTCTCCTCTTGAGTTGCCTGTACAACACTCAAATCCGCGATATACGCGGCCCTGGCGGGAGAGCACCTCAGGCGTGGACCAAGTTGGAAGACGAGTTCAACATTCAAGCACTAAACATATCCCAGTAACAAATGGCGGCGCACGAACATGTACTAGACCCACATGATGCAACAGCTGAAGCTACAAGAAGTGTATTGACGACTCTAGCCTTGCAGAAGTCACCTTTCCTCACGACTATAGTGCAGATAGGCTGGTGGTTGAGGACCGCGGGTGAGCAGCTGGAATAGAGTAGAACATGGGTGTCCGAAGCCAGCCTTGCCTTCCCCCGTGTGTAGGCAACTTTCGATATCTGGACAAACCGATGCAAGCAACATGCAGACTTTATGTCCTGGAAACCACAATTAACCACAAAGCAAACACCATGCTCGTCAGCATGAGTCAGTTGAGCACAAACTCAAGCCCAGTGGTCCACCTGTTGATGGACGAAGTTCGTGGTCACCTGTGCTGCTTCTGCCCTAGCGCTCTCGCACAAACCTGCTCGCATGAAGAATGCTCACCGGCCGATGCTGCAAGGCCCTGCCACTCCCTTGTCAACAAGGCTTTCCCAGCAGACTTTAGCAGACTTGGGGGCGGCACGAGGTTCCTGCGCCAGTCCACTTCTGCTGCAAGCTCCTCGTGGACGCGCCGAACCACTCCAGACGCCTGGCAACTATCGTGCAAGCTAAGCCCTGCGAAGGTTCAAAGCGTTCTGAAAACGGAGCACCGTGTACTGCAACACTCCAGCTTCTGAATGCTGAAACTGCGACAATACTACACAGTCCTACACAGACCGCAAACTCCCGTCCCCAGCCTGTTGTCGGAGGGAAGGCCTCGGAAGCCACCAGCGGCCCAAACGGCGATGACCCAGCAAGGCCTCTGGTGCTCTTCGGTGAAGATACTCAGAGACTCTAACAGAGTCGAGCAAATGTTTGCTTCGCTTCGGGCTGCGGAACTTCACAGGGTTCAGGACCGAAGCGCCCGATCAGCACATGCTCAAAATTTTCTGCCAGTCGATGTCTCCAGCTTACAAGCTTGACGTGCGTCATGGGACTTTGTTGCCTCCCACCTAGCTGGTATCATGGCATGGGTTGATGGGCCTTGAACTCCGCATCGGTGTAATCTGCGAACACATTCACCGCGGCAGTCCATGTAATGCCTCAGATATTGTAGCAGGGGGGTCACGAATACAAGCCACAGCACCAAACTATGTGCATGCCGCGATCTTCTGAGATAACCTGGTGTTCTTCCGTTGCATGCTTATTTCAGATCTGTTTTCCGCCGGCCTTCTCGAGCATTGTGTGCTGTCACCAAAGCTTTGTTCCGCTGGAACATCTCAAAGCGCTGCTTGTAGCTCAGGGAATCCTGATAACTGGCATGTCACTGTTACCTACTTGCTACTACTGCTCCTGCTACTACTACCACTACTACTACTACTGCTGCTGCTGCTGCTCCTTCTACTACTACTACTACTACTACTACTACTGCTACTGCTACTGCTACTGCTACTGCTACTGCTACTGCTACTAGCACGATTCCGAGTGTTCGCACTGGTTGCTTGGTAAGCTCACCGGCAACGACTTGACCATCGATTTTTGCTCAACTCATGTCCTGCTGGTACAGATCCTTCCGGTGCTTCTGTCGAAATTCCTGCATGTGGCGCGTGCAAACAGTCGTGGCGGTCGGCGATGCATGCACTCCATCTTGACCTCTGCATCTGTGTAAGCCTGCAGCTGAAGATGCGCTAACACGGCCTCGTAGTCTTTGATGTCAATGTCTTCCTGCGCAGACAGAAACTGCCTTGGCAAATCTTGGCAAGGCCTCGGCCTCAACATGTTCCGCAGCTCTCTAGCAGCCTCATAACGGAGGCCGCTAAAATACATGTCTGCACAGATGCCTGGGTCGACTCCACCCGCCCATCAGCGGTAACAGAGAAGTCGAGCGCCACGGCCGTAGAAAACGCAGCAGCCAAAATCTCAGAATGAGTGCTTTCTTGGCTTCGTGGAGCATCCTCCTTCCCACATTTATGCTTGGGCCGTCTTCCTATATACTTGAGAGTGGGAGGAGGAGGAATGGGAGGACGGGCCGCCCCTGCTATTAGCAGCAGGATTGGTGCAGCAGGTCCCAAAGCCCAAGACGGGGTCTGGACAAGAACCCTGGCTGAGCTGAATGACAACATGAATTGAGGAGACCGGCTGCACTCACCGGAGAATCCCGAATTACATGCTGCGTTCAAGACAAGCTGCTCCAAAGATCAGTCAGAACCAGTCATTCTCTGGGCTGGAGTTCGGTCTTCGTATTTCGCCCAAACTGCTGCCGGGACGCTGCCGCTGCGGGGAGGCACGTCATGGAAAGCTACGTAACAGTCTTACCGAGTCCAGCTCCAGCAGATCTTACCAATTGAACACCGACTCTTCCTGGTAACGACCCGTGCCATGTTCTGCACATCGCGGACTTCGGTAAAACTGCAGGGGACCGCCGCCGACGGACCTTCGAGCCAAAGCCACAGACCGTAACGCCGTAACGCCATGTACGTCACATCGCAAGTCCGCATCCGCATTGGCCTGGGAAAGCAGAATGCCGACGCTCGGAGTCCCTGATTCTGAGCTCCCTGTGCTTATTGAAGCCAAGTGAAGCCTCGTTTCGCTGGAGCAGCCGTACAAAGTTTCGCGGCGTCACAGGAACCTCGGCTGAGAAGCGAGGGTTGTACTTGACTCTGACTCAGCTCCTGCCGCGCTTTCCTGGGCTGAGCCTGATGCTGCACCCCACTTCGCAAATGCGCCGCCGACCCCGAAGTTCTCGCCCACACCCAGCTGACAGGGAAAGCAGCAGATAACAAAGGCAGGCACTGCGGTAAAGGGCAGCAACCTGGAATCTTTCATCCTCAGGGGCACTGGAGTTCAGGCCTTTGCCAGTGCATGCCCGCCAGCCTCACCATCACTCTCCATGTCGGCATGCTCACCCGCGCCTGGCGGAAGAATGGACCAAATGAAACGAATCCAGCAGCTTCAGCTTCTTGGCCCTGTCCGAAAGCTCAGGTACTGGCCCATGCCGAAAGGTCCCATGGGCTGACTTTTCTTGCCTGTCCCAACACAACATACAGTATGCACAGAGGCAGACAGCATGCAAACCTCCTCTGCAGCTTCTGTAGCAAAAGCGCCCTCGAAATACTCTACGCAGGCGTTGCCGTGAGCTGCCTTGCCCGGTGAGCTCCTCCACTGCCTTAAATCGAAACGTTCCCAACCCACCCTGCGGTCAAGGCATCAGTGAAACTTAGAAGCCTCACTGCGAACTGGGCTCTCGCTCTCATTGTTGGTTGGTTTCTGAGCATGCACCAAGCAGGCTGTCCATGCAACGGGATGACGGTGCCGACTTGCCAGATGCAGGGACAGCGGATGTCATGGTACAAAGTGCATTAGAGTCGCTTTCTGGCCCGCTTTCGCAGCTGCGCGAAGCTCGAAGGGAAGACCTGTGGAGTCCAAGAAACCTGGCGGCAAACATCCTGTGGCCTGGGACGCTGTAGTGAAGCTGGGTTCCGGCATGACAGCCGGTGGCTTGCATGACGTTACAGGGAGAGCCGCAGCTACAAAAAGGACGCAGGATTGTGAGTAGAGAAATGGTATGCAAGCACAGTCAAACTGAGATACTATAAAAGCCCATGATGACGATGAAGATGACGGGGATAATGAGGATTATGATCGTCATGAGATGGAGGAGGATGAGGAGGGGACAGTGAATGATTGTAGCAAATAAGTATGGTGATGATAATGATTACATAGTAGCGAGAAGAAGCATACGAATAGAAGGATGGGAGCGACATGGAGTGACAACAAGCATACCATAAACACCAGTAATGGGTAGAATGCGTCTAAATAGCACAAGTCTCATCTTCATCTGCAGACATGATGGCACTGAACGGCCCGAATGCACCTGGGTCCTCCGTTGTGACAGTTGTTGACACCAAGCTGCTGAAAACCTGGGCCGGCAGCACGGAACACAGTTCAAGCTCCACGGACCAGAAGTTGCATTTGCTGTAGTCTCAGGCTTTTCGTTTTGAACATCCACGCCGCACTCTCCGAATCAAGAGCCTTTACGATTGTGGAGAAGGGCTTCAACCTTCCGTTGGGAGGGGTTCAAGGCCTTCAAGGAGACCTGGGCGACAGTTCTCGAAACCTCCCCAACTCAGCTTGCCGTGACCTGGAGGCACTACCAAAGATCCGGCTTCACCTGATGCCATGTGTATACAACTATATCACTATATCATCTATATCTGTTCTGAAACATATCGTGGAACCTGCTGGAATTTTTACCGCTTGTTTGCAAAGGGCTGGCCACTAGCCTAGTCAGCTCAGACTCTGAGGGATTAAAACAATGTGCACTCTGCTGGGTCAAAGCAACCACGCTGAGCCAAGTCAAAGTAACCCGCATGCACCGACAAGGTACTATTTGCTACAAGGCCGGCTGCGTATCTCTTCTGTCGCGTGGCCGTTAAAGCGCCAGCTCATGCTGAAGTGTTTCCGAGTGACTTCGGGAAAGTTGATCGGGTGCGCCAAACCTGCAGGTAAGCTTACAAACCTTCAAGCTCTCCGTTGTCAAATGCGCAGCCGCAGCCATGAATTCCATAAATCTGTGCAGCACAACGGATCGAGAGTCTGCAGTAACATCTGCAGATGAGCCCAGCTGTGAACGTGAGACAGATTGCTCCCGCCATGAAGGACCTGTCTTCTCAGATCATTTGTGCCGCCACCTCTCGCAGCGTAGCCCTTCTCGATGAGGAACTCACGAACCTAAGCAGCACGAACCCTGCCAAGCATGGGACGTAAGGTCGGAAATCCACATGATTGCTGCGACAGTACTCCCTGAATTTTCCCGCGCAGTTCTGCCTGAGAAATTGTGGCACGGCAGACCAAGCCCCGTAAGACCCAACATCACTAGAGATCCCACGACCTGAGTCGGTGGCAAGTGGGCCTAAGTCGAGTGCAAAGAGCTGATGATTACCAACCTGGCCAGCATCATGACAGCTTGCATGGGTTGTCATCGGCGTCTCCCCATTGCCCTGGGCTCTGGCCTACGGATTCTTGCCTGCTGAGATGAGACCACTGGCTTTTTCAAAAAGCAATTTGAGACAGCTGAAACTCGCACCGGAGTTCTCACTCGTCAAGCAATCTAGCCGTCGCGTGCAACACAGCAGCGGGCTTCGTAGGCAGTTTGGGCCGGACAAGTAACAGAAGTATATAGCCTATACACCTCTTCAACCCCATATGTTTTTTATCCAGTAACAGCAACTGTATACGCAAACGAACTCATGACAACTAATGAACCACACTCACATACACATGCACTATGCAATTTCGATGTGGTTGCAGCGGTTAATACATGAGCATATCAACGTTTTGGAATAGGTGCTGATGGGTTGTGCGCTGGAGTATTTTCAACTATGTGTGTGTGTGTGTGTGTATGTGCATGCGCTTCCTGATTCACGTGCATTTCATAACGACACTCCTCGGTCGCTAGCCAATGTCTCCATGTCGCTCACTTCATCAACATGCCACAACCCCGAAGCAAGGCAGGGAGGCCAGGAGAACCGGGCGGCCCAAGGCTTTGGGGTCGGGCACTCCCTCAAGCCCGAACCTCGGACTGGGGGTACGGGCGGTACAGAGTTCAGGGCTTCACAGGTTATACGGGGCTTTTAAACTCTCTCAGCAGTTGGGCACCATGCGAGACTGTTAGGTCGGAAGGGGGCTGAAACTATGCTAGCTTTCAAACACACGTGAACGTGGAATTGAAGCACCACCAGTATAAATGAAAGCAATCTCCCGAAGCTTACGAGGTGTATGGGGCGTTGGGATTTTATTCTTGCACAGGTTTCTTTTAACAGGCACCCGGGTGCTGCAGGTGGCGATTGCTTTGCACTGGTTTGGGTGCTCGGGTTGCTTGCTGAAAGTGCTCCGCTGTATTCTCCGTACTTCACAAGCCCAGGCCGGACTCTATGAATTGGCAGTGGCCATTCGTATCAGCTCGATCGGCCACGAACCACTACACACGCATGTGGACTTCAGGGCAACAGCGACTCGCATGCGTTGGACGGTTCGGGTGGCCGGCCTCCGCTTTCCCATCTCTTCGTCCCAGCTGCAGAAGACTGGCGACCTGGCTGTGGCTTGGACTGTTCGGGGCTAGCAAACCGCAAGGTTGCGAGTGAGTGTGTGAGCGAGCGAGTGCGGGCAAGGAAGCATCAAACATAATTTTCACTGAAGAAGATGCAGCTTCCATCTTCTCGCTACTGTAACGCAAAAATATAATCTCTGCAGGAAGCGGTAGCCACCGTCGGCAGCAGCAGAGCAGCTCTGGAAATGACGAGCCGGGTGGACACCAAAGCCGCTATGGGCTCAATGTTTCTTGAGCCCTGCTCCAGCTTCTCGAGCGTGGGGAATTCGAAGTCATCTCGGCGATGCTCTTGGATGCAGCTGTCTTGGGATATGACATTCTGTTTTGAGCAGCCCTACCGGATTAGTTACACTGGAACCGGGGGGGGGGAGGCAGTAGTCACATGCCACCCTGCATCCTCTGATGTCTAGCTCGCCGCAACTAGACCAGCTCCAGCATGGGACATTGGCACTTTTTCAAGCGATGCTTTGCCAAGGTTGCTGCCAACATAGTTGCGTGACGAGGGCTTCCTCACCAGCTGCACCCACCGGAATCATGACAAGAAGATACAGAAATATCTAGTACAGGCCATACAGGCTGACATGCTGGCATTAAGTCGCGGGCTCCAGAATGTTGTGAACATGCTGCCGTACTTGCTGTAAGCTCCCGGCTTGTATATTGGAGAGTCCTGTACACTCATGACTTGTGTCGGCAACTGAGGCTCGTGTGGTGCAGCTGCTGCACAGTTCCAGTAGTAAGTTCGTTGTTGCACCAAGCTGCGACTGATTCCTGCCTTGCCCCTTGTGCAGTCTTGAAAATGAATAGACTGGGCTGAAGGTCCGAGTCCTTCAGAAGCTTGGCGATGTTTACACGTCCGTCCAGCGGTGCATGGCCAGAGTCTTTCAGCTCCACAACCTCCGTGGACACGAATTTTCAAGACGACTTCAATGGAAAGCCGAGGGCGGGAGCCTTCGTGACTGCTCTTGCAGTTACCAGGCGCTCCGTGCCCTCAGCGCCTTTGCAGCAGCTCATCTGAGGACATGGCTTGGAGGCGTTTGTCGCCGCAGCGCGCACGCAACACGCCCCTGTGCCGTGGCATGCTGAAGGAGAACTCATGCATGTCTTTGCCGCCAATGTTCACTCGGTACTTCTCGCTCACTATCTTGCCGCAGTCTTGCCTCAATCGTTCGGCCTCCTTGTCCGAGATGAGCAAGCGGTCATCTCAGACTCCGAGAAACTCCAAAGGACCAACGCTGCATTTCCGGGCTGGGGCTGCTGCTGTCGGAAGCCAACAGCAGAGTCGGCCTGAGATGTTCAAAACGGCTAGTTAGTTGCAGGACCCTGAGATCTCACGCAGAACTGCCTTCTAAAAGCGTGCACAGCGAGAACCTGCGGAAGGCCTGATGCTCAACAGCATGTTCAATCACTCAACAGCGAAAACTTGCAATGTGTTTTTTGGCTGCTTCGACACTCAACAAGGCGGCATTTCCAGAATGGGCGCCTAGTAGTTGTTCGTTATCATGCAGGCTGTCAGGTCAGACTGCGTACGAGAGCAAGCTGCCGAGCAGGCGTGATGAAGACAGAAGTTGGGGTGCTTGTGGCATCCTGGCTCCCCCATGTAACTTGCACTCGGGGGAGCGAGAGCCAGCCAGTCTTCAGCGGAATCAGTGCAAAGCCAGGAATAATGTCGTTGGGGTCAGCTTCGGGAAGGCAAGCAGCCTGGTAGCAGGTCGGCCCAGAAAGGAGGTACCGGTCCGGAACCTCGCCTTCACCCTGCAGCACGCGAATCTTGATTTCGTCATGATCCACGGACCTGGCATACCTCAGACGCACCTGCACGGCTAGTGGTGTTCCAACCGTTCCCGTGCTGCTTGCCTGTAGCTCCACTTGCAAGCTTTGGCTGCTAACAGCAGCTGCTGTTGGCACAGGCAGCAGCCACTCAACTACTGCTGCAGGCATCGGGTTGGGCGGCCAAGTGCTTTTGATGTCCTTCCACGGGAAGAAAGCTTGAACAGCCTGGTAGCGCTGGAAGCACACTCGTAAACGCGGGCGAGACTTCAGCACCAAACCTGGTTCCGCGGGCCACAAAAAGGCATAAGAGGATCCAGGTTGCATCTGACCCATTTTGCCAAGACAAGCCACAGTGCGCTCTGTGTCTGAGCCTTCCGGTGTGTAAAAGACCTCTGCCTTGACAGTCTCCACCGCTGTGGCAAGGTGACACCGCAAAGAAAAGGATACGGGCTTCTGAGCCAGCATTGCTGCTGATAGGCGCTCCTCTGCAGTGTGCAATTTCACAGCATGCCTTAGATGTCGGACAATTGAACTGAAAAAATCGGCCGTGAAACAAAGCATAGACTGAGACTCACCAACTCCACGTGTGCCACGATGCTTGAACTTGATCTGTGGGGTCCAGCACTGCGCCGCCGCATCCCCACCGATCTGCTGCACCTCGAGCCCCAGAGACACGCCACAGGCGTGTTCGCAGCGGACTGCCAAGGGCAGAGCAAAGTAGGATGCACCTCGGACTTCGCGACACACCTCTTGGTCGCATGACGTGCGCATGGCTTCACGAGGAGATCTTTGAGAGTTCCGGAAATGAGGCAAGTATGGGATACTACATAAACAAAACATGATGTAATGTGAATATGATGATCTACATTGATCTATTTTTGTGACTCAATTACTTCAGACACCCGTTCGCACCCGAAATGCAGCGGGAAAAGGCTGCTGGAAACTCGGAGAGTCCTTGGGAGGATCCTTTGTGATGGAGCCGAAGCGGAGCCCCCTGTAGGTCAGCCGGCAGCAGACCGAGGAGATTTTCGGATGCCTTGAGCTCGGACGTAGAAAAACCCGCCACCACTTTCGAGGTACCCAGTGCTAGGGGCTCCAAATCAAATGGTTTGTCAGCACCGGAAGCCTTCAGGAGGTCTATGCGAAGGCCTGTGGGCTTTTCTGCTAAGTGTGCGGGGGTGCTGTCGTCCAGGTCCTCGCTGAAACGGGCGTGGCAGGTAAGACCTACTTGGCAGGATTCTGGTGACGGTCGCTCCGGCCATGCGTAGATCACGACGTAGAAGATGAAGCACTCGGAAACCAAGCCAGCCACGGGCTCCACTGGGAGAACCGTCTCAGCCTCCAGATTCAGCCGGAGGTCGCTGGGTTTGCGTGCGCCTTCCTCGGACTCCCGTGCACTCGAAGTGCCGTCAACAAGGTTGAAGGCGGGAAACCCCGAGTGACGTCCAGCGTCACTGATCAAGTCGCAGGAATCGCAAGGCTGCTCACATGTGCCTCGTAGTATCGGGAGAGACGCCAAAACACTAAACACTAGAAACCCGAAACACCCTAAACCCTAAGTCTCCGGTGTAACTGACGGCTGAAGTTTTCGAGCAGCCTGCCTACAAATACCACTGATGTGGACCGGGCCCAAACCAGGCGAACCTGCAATGAACTGTATCATGTTATGTCATAACCTAATGTAATATAATGTAATACAACATATAGTATAACATAATATGATATATGCAGTCGTGTGCAGTGATCTGCAGTCAAGCTGCGCATGTCTGAGGCTTACAAGGAGGGGGCAGGACCTGAGTCCTAAGCTCACACATTTCAGCATCAGCCAGTTTCGGAGTTAGAAGCAAGTCTCGCCAACTACCTCGAGAACTCCACGTTTGACCTAGTAATTGCCTAAGGTGCGAACCCTAGGTGAACCCCCAAACTCCCTCCGCGCCGTCGTCACCGCCGCCCCAGCGCCTGGTAAGGAGCCCCGGAGCCGCAGTGGGCACCCGGCCTTCGGCAGGACAAGCGAGAGATCTGATGTAGGGTCGCAGACAGTGTCTTGGCATTTTCCGCAGCTAGATCTATGGAATCATCTTGCCACTCGGCCTTTCCACTAAGAAGCTGAAACTTCGCAGCAGTTCCTGAACAGTCCTGCAGGTGAATGCATGGGGCAGCGCCGTCAGTCATCCCGATGGAGTGAAACAAGTACGACTAAATACTACACGTTCACCAACATTGTTCTGATCCTTGCTTACTTCTTCGACATACAATAGAACATAATAGAACACAACATGTTGAACCTTTGCAGTTTGAGGAGAAGTTTGGCTCTGAGTGGCCTTCCAGGTCTGACCTTCACCGAGTTCGATGGTCAAAGGCACAGATCCTTGGAAGCCATAGTCGGGTTGCGGGGCTGCTGGGGTCCGGGCACTATCCATCCGCCCATTTATCTATGAGGTACTTACTACATACACACATACAGACAAACAGACAGACAGATCGACGGACAGATAGACAGACAGACAGACAGACAGACAGACAGACAGACAGACAGACAGACAGATAAACAGACAGACAGCAGACAAGAGACAGAAACAGAGACAGACACAAAAAGAGAGACAGAGAGACAAACAGACATGCATGATTTAAACATGCACACATTCATACAGTGTCTTGCAAAGTGTTGTCTGCTACTGGACCTGATGGCCATAAGATGGCATAAGAGACTAGGAATTGCTCTTGGCTTGCTGTTGGGAAGCTGTAGTTTTTGGCCTTGCTGAGCCTTGCAGCAAGCCGCTACGAGTACACCGGTACACGGTGATCCTCTGGTTGCAAACACCCCCTCAGCCAAGAGTCCAGTGGTAGTGCTTGCAGAAGAGCTTGCTAGCTCCAAGCTGATGGGCAGTTCATTGTTGCCGAAGAGCACATGAAACACATCTGGATCTTCTGTGGCCTGGCTCCAAGAAACCTGGCATTGGCTTAGCTGCACCTCGATGCTGTCAGCCTCTTCGTGAGCAGCCCGGACAGCCAAGGCCACAAGCTCTTCTGCCTGGCTCAAGTCGGCTGAGACCGCAGATTCTGGCAGCTTCATGTACTCGAAGGCGTCTTGGACCAGACTCCTCCTCAACATGCCATGGTCCTGCGTTGGTGACGGCTCAGCCGAAGAGTCCATGGAGGAGCTGGCAGGAGTTGCTCGACTTGAGGAACAAAGCGCAGGGACTGGAAGGCCAAGTGCTGTCAAACAACACAGCAGTGAGCGTTCCAAAGAAAATCGTCGTAGCGACGGCCAGGAAGGTGCCGGCATCTGCCGCAAACGCTCAAACAAATTGCGTGCAGCTTCTTGATGCCCACTGCCAGGCTCACACAGGTAAGCCTCAGCCACTCGGGCTTGAGAGGCGGTGATCCACGCGGAATAGCCGCGCTCCTTCGCAGCGGCCTGTGCCCGGATCAGCAGCTTCAAGCTGCGGTCTGCGTGCTCCGTGCAGAGTTTCGCCTTCCAAGGGCCGAAGGGCCGGGACAAGGACCCGGGCCCAGGCCCAGGAGGTCCAAAAAAACTTTCAGCCCCGGCCCTGCCTCCGCATGCGCCAACCGCAAGGCCACCTCTCTGGCAGGTGCCTGAAGGAAATTTTCTGCACTGACATACTCATGCTGCTTATGGCATAATGGCATAATAACCCTACACCCTAAAGGCCCTATTGCCTGCATCCATGCTCAACAAGCACGGCACCTCGACCTCTGACGGCCGCTCCAGCACTCCCGCCTGGCACACGACAGGATATGCGAGGATCATTCTCCATGCGAACCGTGCGATGTGCGAGGATGAGGATGAGTAGTAAACTGAATAGTTTGCATTGTCTCGGGAATACAGGTGGCACAATTAACTTACGAATATGGGAAAGGTTCCAAAAGTCACCTGGCTGGCGGAGCACTTCTGGCCTTGGCCTTGTCGACCACAACCCTTCTGATTGCAGAAATAAAAGCAAAAATAAGGATACAAGAGACAGATACGTGTATATTTTGCTTCGGCAGATTCAGACTGTGGCTAGATGATTATGGTAGACAGTCGTTCCGGGGCCTGGCCCAAGAATGGAGAGGGCCGGAGCTCGCCACCCTGGCCCGTTGAGGCTGGCAGGTGCCCGGGCTCCAGGCAGCGCAACGCCCACTCACCTTGTGCAGCTGCAGGGTTGTAAATTCTAAGCCTGATGTAGAACACGACTTACATGCTCCTCTTGTATACAAGAGCGAATTGTGGGCTGCTGTTGCTGTTGGGGCCTTTCAGGAAGCAACTTGAAGCTGACCCGCATGCTTGCTGGCATTTTCGTGTCTTCTCCTTCTGCCTTGGGCCTTGAGGAAAGCACTCACAGCCCTCCGCAGGCTCTTAGCTCTACTCTCACGCTTGTCCATCTTCTCCTAAGCGAAGGGCAGTGCGGAAAAGCTCAACTGCAGAAGCGGTCTGCTAGGTTCGTCCTTAGACTCCCTAGATGACAAGCAAATTGTTGAAGGAAAGACGTTGAGTACATCGGGAGATCACTTGTCACCGAGCCCCCCCCCAAAGGCACAGAACCAGTCACGTCAAACTAACATAGCGATCTCTCTCTCTCTCTCTGTCTTTCTGTCGGTGCGACTAAGGAAGCAGCAACTATCTCGCCCTAGCCTGGCCACCAGATTCGGAAGAGGAGCCGCCAACGAAACTGCTTGCTAGTCGCTGACAGCCCCGCGTGCGAGCGCGCCCTAGTCTCCAAAGTCTGAAAGAGTGACACCATCGGATGAGGCTGGCGTCTCCACAACAGCAAAATCTCCCCTCTACGAACTTTATATAAAAACCCCCGCGACTCATCCTAAGGGCAATGGAGGCTCCGTCCGCCATCTCGCAATCCGTCGGGCGTAGCAACTTTTCGGGTACCGGGCTGTTGTCACACAAGCATTGATGATAACACCTACCACCACACAATAGCATAACACTGTTCAGGATTTATTGCCCCGGCTGGCCTACTGCCCACATCAAAGAGCCTTGCATCCGGGAGCCTTCAATGCACACTGTAACAGACAAGTGAACCCCAAGTTGCATCACTTGACATTCCCAGGCTCTTCTAGGCCCATATTGGTCGAGCTGGCGCTCAGCGACCGGGTCCCCGTTCGCTTTGTCTCTTCCCCTCTCATTCTGTTTGTTGTTTTGCATGCCTTTTGCTGGGTCTCTCCACTTGGCAGTGATCGTACAGACGACCATGCACGTCGCAGCCACTCGGTGTCTGTGGTAGCTACGTGATCATGTTTCTGTTCTTGCATGCCGGCTGCGTAGTCGTCGGGCATAGCTCGCCGCCACCTCAAGGATGCACGACAAGTCAGTTTTGTAATCCTTTCGCAGCTCCCACATCTCTGCAGGGAGCTTGAGCATGCAGGCCTGGTAGTGATATCCCGGGAACTGCCAGAGGTCATTCTGGTCGATAAGCCTCGGGATCCAAGCAGTGCATTGCCTGATTTGCCGAAGAAGAAGTGTTGGGAAGCCAGGCTAGCTAGCTGTTTATCCAAGCTAACAGGCAAGCAAGCAGAAACAAAGACACTGCATGTGCCAACAACAATAAATAAGCTAGTAATGCACTAAAGATAAATAACCGCATACCTGCGCATACAGACATGCATGCATACCTTCTGACAGGGCACCGGTTCGTCAGCTTCTGCTACGGCCACTAGGGCGGTCTAAATAAACACACAAATCATCCAGGAGGCATAGGCGCCTTTTGTGACATTGTGTCGAGGAAGTCACCTTGGTGTCTACACTCCTGCACCGAGCTAGAAAACACTAATCGTGGAGTTCTTGCAATCAGGTGGCCAAAGATAACGTGATTCCTCAGCTCAGAGGACTTGCAAGTAGATGTCGCAGACGGAAGATGATTTCGAATTCCCAGTGCGCAGCCAAAAACAAGGACAGAAGAAACCAGTTCTGACTGGGTGTCAGAGACAACCAGCGAAACTTGCGCCAAACCAGCTCGTCGCCATCAGCCTGCCAAGGAAAAAAGCGCCGATGTTGAGCTCGCAACAGAAAAACCGAGGCAACACAGCTACAATCCGGTTCGAGCAATAATGATGCGATCTCGGCTACCTGCAAACCCGGCTAGGGGTGCAGCACGACCAGAGCTTGACAACAGGATTTCCGATTTCGACCCAGCTGCACAGCATCTTCTGAGCGAAGACGTATGCACGCGGCAATGGTGAACAGCAGCACCCACGTCGTGTGATGCAAAGTATCTCTCATACATCCTTCGCTGGCGACTACCGGCACAAGACTTCTGCAGCTGTTCCGTGGTTCAATTCAACATGGGTTCCCTGAAGAGTTCGGTGAGCTGCTCTTCAGTCTTAGCATGACTTAACCGTTATGGCATCCGGTCCTGACAGTTATGTGGTTGCACAGATCCATTCTTTCGACGGCATCAGCAATATCGGACTCGTTGAGCAGCAGCTCATAGGCCTTTCAGAAAGGCGACTACCTAGAACGTCTGAACAGGATGATGCAAGTCCCAGCGTATCCCGATCTCCCTTTCCTTCTTAGTCGCAAATTAAAGTCTCATAGGTACGTCATCGGCACGAAACACGCTGAACTCACCTGTGGGATGTCAACCCTGCCTTGATATAGAATGTCAAGGCGGCGCGCACATCTTTGCGGAATTCGTTCAGAAAGGCAACCTTGAAGTGCATTCTGACCTCACCGCGACGCATCACGCGCAGTTTTTTCTTCGACCACTGCGTGCGATACAGTTTTGTCAACAGCTGCGCCTGCATGGCAGTGTGCGCCGATGTTGAGACCTTACTTCGCACGGGCAAGCTGCAGTTATATGTGTAGTCCGACATCTCAGATGCACGCAACATACAAAGGGTGGTTGACGCTTTTGGGTACTCATGTCGCCGATGCTCTGCCCGTGCAGCGCAACCCTAATTGACGAAGCAACTCCGTGGACACATTCAAATCGAAGCGGTGTTGCGCGCTGTGGTCGCAAACAGCCTTTCGACTACTTAGACTACTTCTGACGAGCTGCTGGAACTTTCGGTGCCCAAGGCTTGCGCAGCCGTTTCTCCTCATCCGCCTGGGACTGTCAACAGCATCCAGGAAGGGTGTGGGCAGGCACAAGGCTCATCGAATCCCAGGTTCCGAAGATTTTCAGACACGTGGCATAGAAGGACATGGCACTCTGGTAGATGAGCCGCTCGAGCTTCGGCGCCTTTAAGCGCTTGGGGAAGCCACAAGCTTTTCGATGTCTCTCTGCAGCAGATTATGTATTGGGGTGTGTGCGTGTGTGTGTGTGTGTGTTCTCGCACACCGGTATCTTTGGAGAGGTTGGCGGTCGACTTCCTTTGCCAAATCAGGCGGAAGTCGGGGAAGTGGGGTGCAACATGGTGCGACCGTGCAACGAGCGTCTGACTCCAGAAGCTTCTATGCTTAAGCATGCGGCTGCAACAACATGCCTGAACCCTGTATGGATATCCATTCGACCAGGCATGGCCTGCCTTGGTAATCACATGTAATCGCCAAGTTCTTGTGTAAGAGATCCGTACCCTGTCTTTAGCCACTTTAGCCCTCAAAGAACGGACCTTCATCGGGAGATCGCTTGTGCCAACCGCCACCACAAGTCCAGCAAACTCAGGCTGATTGCGGAGGAACGCGCAAGCAGCCTGGCATCAACTGAGCGTGGGTGGGATCCGCGACAGGCTTCGAGGTCGGAGTGTTCTCATCCAGTCAACTCAACTTTGCCGAAAGCCCGCAGACCCTCCAGCTCAAGAACCTATTTTGCCTCCGGGTCTGCGGTGTTCTCGTGGAGAACGATGAAAATCAGCAATCGAAGGTCGCGCTCCTCGCCGCGGGAATAGCAGTTCTGTCTGCTGCAGCTGAACAAGGTATCGACCCCTGATAGTTGACCTGCGGCCTGGAGCAATCGCTCTTTTTGTGTTTCAGGGTTTTCAATCGGCATGCATTTTGCGCGAGGCAGTTGCTTCAACGAATGCACAACAACCGAGTTCAAAACGAAGTATAGTTGCCTGTGGCATCGACTCGACGATCCTTCGATACTCCGAGACATGCGCGTTTTTCAGGGACCGCGAGTCTCGTTTGGTTGAGTTCTGTTACGACGCACGTTGTCAACTACAGCTACAGAGATCACATCGTGCCTTTCCTGCTGCGACAGAAAAAGCTGTCTGATCATGTGCGGCATGCCCCCGACAAGCCCGGGACCTTCGCTTGCCGCCGCGCGTGCTGCAAGTAATGCAGCACCTGCGACTCCTCCTGCCAAAGTGCAGATGCACTGTACGCGACGCACATCGTGCCGATCGGTCCTGTTCTGGCTGACGCAGGTCTGCAGACCAGTCGATGCACAGGACGAGGACGGCAGGGATGCCGTTGCACAACTTCTCCAGCCTTGAGAAGCAACACGAGGCTCTCCAAGAAAGGATTTCGTAAGCTCGCCCTGATATCTCTCCACATCAACTTTCTCTACAGCCCCGAGCATCTCCACGACAAAAGCCAAGGAGCCAGCGCCGCTTCAGGATGCCTTCGACCCGGTAGCCCGGGGAGTCACGACCACCACGTTTTGCTGGCAGGATGCGCATGTCGTACGTAGAGGACAAGTACCTTCCGATGCCATCCCGGCACCATATATATATATATATATACATATATATATATATATATAGAGGTAACATGTATAGCCGCTTCAATTGGCTACATTGTGTTCGATCCCGTCAATACTCTCAACAGACATCGAAACCGTCAGCTTTCGGTCGGATAGGTGGTTAATTAGTGATTATTGATGATTATTGCCTGATCATGGATACAGTCTGGCTTCTACAACCACGGCTGCCGGCGCACGTCGGTGCTCAAGTCTCCTCAAATTCTAGCGCTTGCTATTGTCTTACTTCTGTGTGAGTTTCGGCAACACTTGTCTTCTCAACATGCGGAAGGCGGAGGGGCTTTGTGCGCTTGACTCCGCAAGCAGCGATGGCGGCGTCATGCAACGCCTGATCGTGGATCTTGTCTTGTTGGGGAAGTGAGTACTCATCCCGGTCGTGTAGACGAAGACCTATATACTGAAACGACAAACTGGCAGGATGCAGACGACTGATCTGCTACAAGTAGCTCTCGCTTCTCCCACCTAGGGAGCCACGTCCACACGATGGTGAGTGCTGCTTGTACCACTGGCAGTTCTGATTCCTATTCTTCTCCACACGTCTGGTCGCGGAGCACCCATCGGACCCATCGCAGCCTCAATGAGCTTCGGCTGAAGGGCCGTGGCACCCAGAAGCGAGGCGAGAAGTAGGGGATGCGTCCGCACCTCCGAGCAAGCTTGAAGCGCTTTGTAGTTGTGCCAGGCAGGAAAACATCGCGTCTTCGTAGCATTTACTGCTTTGAAGGGAGTCAGGGAGACTTCCGAGGTGGCTTTGCGGAGTCCTGGGTCTTGCTCTGCCTTATCCCTGGCAGATACACCAGATGTACTCCACATCGTACAGCCGATGCGACCGGGGAGTGGAACTACCTCTGTGCTATGATTACGTCTATAACTACTCCCAACTCACTGCTCTGCAACGTTCTGCAACCCCCCAGCATTTGTCATGACGGTCTGCTTGTCCGCATGCAGTAACCGGACCACCGAGCCTCGCGGACATACTCCTCCATGTTCACTGCCGTCTCATGCCATTGTCTCGAAAGCCGCACTCGGCACTCGGTACCGTTATCTTTCAAGCCCGCTTGAAACTGGGCTTTGGGCTGTGCGCATCTTGTAGCTTAAATGGTGTACGAGTCCCAGCACAGTGGAAGGGTACTCGATTGTGTCTGATGTTTCGAAGGCATCGCAGAGAACGGCACGAGATTTGCTTGGTGAATGATTGAATTCTGCATGCTTGCGTATTACATCGTGAAATGTTACACCGTCTCATGTTCTTTTGGTTTGGTGACTTGTTGCCATCTGGTGCAGACAAAATTTTGCAAGCACGCACGATGTCATATGGAAAGGCAACCAGAGCAGCTGCAGACCAAGCAAAACCCTAAACCCTAAAACGATCTCATGCTGCGACTTGCTTTGCCGAGTCTGTGGCGGAAGCTTGGCTCCTGCAAGCCCATGGCCGTTAGCACAATGAGTGCCAGAAGCAAACTCGCATATCCCTTCCTGTCCTCCGAAAGAGCTGCCTCGCCGTCTGCGGAGCTCACTGTTTACCTTCGCAGCCATCGGCACAACGCTTTATGAGCTGTTGACGACTTGCACATCAGATTGGAAAGATACTAAGTTGGATGCGTGGCTAAGAGTGCAGTAGATATAATCCCATGGAGAAGATGCTTCGGGAGCTAGCCAACCGTAGCCGGTTGGGAGCACTGAGGACCTCACGATTTCGCAGCCGTCGCGCAACCAATGACGAAGCCGGAAACGAACAGTCTCTGGTGGCAGCAACTGCGCCAAGTTCTCCGGATACCTGGGCACCGGGAACCGCGAGCTGTGTCTCAGTGCAGCAGAAGTATTTGAACCACTGTCGCGACAAGGGTCGCAGGTGGCTGCACCCTGGGGTGTGACCCGTCTGTTGACTCGTTTCAGCAGCAAGCCCCATAGAACATGGCTGAAGCTTTCGGTGCAGGGTATGAGGTGCGGGCAGCAAGAAGTTCTCGACTTCTGGATCCAAGTTCGGTCCATCTTGGGCCTTCTTGGGGCTGAGAAGATTCAGCGCCTGAAGAGCAGGATCATATAAGTGAGGCACAGTACAGAGTTACCCTGAGACGTTGGCGATCTTTGAGAACAGCCTGCCCAACCTCGCTTTTGCAGACAGTGTGCAGTGAGTGTCTACAGTAGCTTCTGGTAGAAGTCGTCGGCTAAGACTGACGCTGCGTCGAATCTGCCACCGTGCCGGTGAGTGCCTCAGGAGGCGCGGATCGAAGCTGCTCGCCAAATCCAGCACAGTCTTCGCCCTGGGATGATGGCGGAACCGGCCACATATGGGTATGGTGACAATGTCGCACGGCTTTGCAGGTCCTGATGAGCAGGGGGCTCAGTGCAAGCCTGAGGCTACAAATGCCATCCATCAACGTAGCAGAAGCAGGTCCTGGAACAGGTCTTGAATGTCCTGGTGCGGGCTCCAAGCAGGGAGTTCGTCTGGAGCCTGCACAAGCAACAATCATGGTTGCCGCCTGCGACTTCGAACAGACACCAATTGAAAGTCTGCATCGCCCTGCAATGCTTTGGCCTACTTGCTGGTCAGCAAAACAAGTTTTTTCAAGCGCCTGAGGCCCTACAGTAAAACTTCGAGCCCGGAATCTTGAATCTGAAGCACTGCACCCTTCCTCACGATGCCCGAAAGCAATGGTGATCGATGTGATGCACAGGCGGCTACTCCGGGGCACGGACATTCGGCAAGGCCGTCAAGGCACGCCCTCGCGTGATTCCCGGATTTGGGGTTCCGCCGAACTGAACTTGTCTAATTGACAATTATTGTGCTTTATGAACAGAAGTCTTGTGGAACGAATTGCCTGCTCTTAAAAGCAGTGCGCCAATCCGGTAGAACTCCAGATGCACGTTGGCTTGCGGGGCTTCTGACCAGAGCAGTATAGACCAGTGCAGAACTGTCGATGGGGTTGCTCATCCCAAAGAACCACCTGTAGGCACAACTTGAACCGTCGAGCCGGGCCAAGCCTAGAAGCGGCCAAATTGTTCGGTCGAAAGACGTGGCTGGATTCACGAGGACGAGGCCTGTGCGACAGTGAGAAAGCCCAGGAGCTCAGGCCCTGTGAAAGTACTCAAAGTATATGGGTAGTTGTCCAAAGTAGGGTCCCTTTCAGGGTCCTTTTTATAAGGGTGCCGTACTATATCGGGGACCTAAAAGGGGACCCTTAATTTAGAAAACTACCCATATGTTTAAGAATGCTAGCGTAACGAGCCATGGTCAACTCCAGCTCGTCTGCTGCGGCGCATACGTGGGTTTGTGCCGAATCGAAAGCAAAAGCTTCGCCAAGGCTTGCCCGAAGGGTTCACCTGCATGATCGGCCTGAGGCTTTGCAAAGACAGGCTTGCACGCGCCGGCTTTTTCGATGCTGCTCCGGCAACTTTCGGCAAGCTTAAGATTTAGGATTGCAGCCACTTCACATTCAGCTGTACTTGTGAAATCTTGATCGCCGCATGTTGCCGATCTCTTGTGCAACAGGTATCATGCTGCAGGGCAAACTTTTTGGCAATCTCTGCCTTCCGTGCAGGACCTCTTCGATTCGACAGTGGAGTGCTGCATGTCACTAGCTCCGTGATGAGGGGTCACGCACACCTTCTTTAGTCTCTTCCACTGCGGCCTCTGCCTCTGCTTCAGGCTTTGCCGGAGCCTCACCGGCCTCACCCTCAGGAGGGCTTTTGTCGTCGGGAGCCTCAAAGAGTCAAAGAATCAAAGGGAGCTGAGGATCCCCCCTGAACTTGTTGAGAGCGGCCTTAGACGCTTCAGCTTCTCCCTCCTTGGGGTCCTTCCATGCACTTAGAGAACATGTGAGCTTCCGTCATGCACTCGCATCTGCGGGCTCCTTCGCTGCGGCTGCTCCCTCCTTGGAGTCCTTGCCTGTGAAACCTGACATGCTAACACGGGAAACTAAACTAAACCCACAAAGGAGCCAAGACGAGCACACGCGCGCCTGCTGCAGCCAGAGGACGTGCGACTGCCTCGCCAAGCATTGCGAACCGCCCCGGTAGTCCCCAAAGACATGTGCATGACAAACTCCGAATAATGTTAGGGTCCCTTTAATAACCCCCCCCC